AGTGATCACACCATTGTGATTATCTGGGTCATGAAGATCTTTTTTGTACAGTTCTGTGTATTCTTGCCACCTCTTCTTAATATCTTCTGCTTCTGTTAGGTCACTACCATTTCTGTCCTTTATTGTGCCCATCTTTGCATAAAGTGTTCCCTTGGTATCTCTAATTTTCTTGAAGAGATCTCTAGTCTTTCCCATTATTTTGTTTTCCTCTATTTCTTGGCACTGATCACTGAGGAAGGCTTTCTTTTCTGTCCTTGCTACTCTTTGGAACTCTGCATTCCAATGGGTATATCTTTCCTTTTCTCCTTTGGTTTTCACTTCTTTTCTTTTCACAGCTATTTGTAAAGCCTCCTTTGAAAACAATTTTCCTTTTTTGCATTTCTTTTTCTTGGAGATGGTCTTGATCCCTGTACATTTTTTGTACAATGAACATTTTCTCCTGTACAATGTCACAAATCTCTGTCCATAGTTCATTAGGTACTGTATCAGATCTAATTCCTTGAATCTATTTATCACTTCAACTGTATAATCATAAGGGATTTGATTTAGGTCATACCTGAATGGTCTATTGGTTTTCCCTACTTTCTTAAATTTAAGAGTGAATTTGGCAATAAGGAGCACACGATCTGAGCCACAGTCAGCTCTGTCAACTATACATCATCTCTGCTTAGAAAGCAAATTTTAAAAATTACTATCTTTACCTATTCTGCCAGCTGGTGGAATCATATATTCTGTGTGCCCCTGACTCACCATACTTCAAAGTTCCCTAGTGTAAACATGTGGAGTCCCCTAAAGCTCCAAAATATTTAGGTGCAGGAATTCCAATTAAATTAAAGGAAGACGTGCCCCTGTCTCACCATACTTCAAAGTTCCCTAGTGTAAACATGTGGAGTCCCCTAAAGCTCCAAAATATTTAGGTGCAGGAATTCCAATTAAATTAAAGGAAGAAATTAAATTTAAATTCCAGTTTAAATTAAAGGGAGAATTTCTCCCTACAATTAAAAGGGAGAAAGAGGAATCCATTAGCAAAGTAAGAAGATAATATGATAATGGTAAGATAATTGGTAAAAACCAATAATATGATGTTTTGCTAAAAATATATTGTGCCCTTTTGTGTAAAAATTTGCTTACATTTTCTCAGCTTTGGTTAGTCAAAGAAGGGAAGGGAATACCTAGGAAAACTCTAAGTGAATTCATTGAGCAGATAGCCATGCTAATGCTAAAGTGAGTGGAGCATAGAAAATGCCAATGGAAGTGATAGTCTTTATTTCTACATATAAGGGCTTCCCAGGTGGCACAGTGGTAAAGAATCTGCCTGCCTGCAATGCAGGAGACCTGGATTTGATCCCTGAGTTGGTATTCTTACCTGGAGAATTCCATGGACAGAGAAGCCTGGCAGGCTACAGTCCAAGTGGTTCCAAAGACTTGAACATGATTGAGTGACTTACACACACACACACACACACACACACACACACACACACAATGTCTATGTAAGGAATTTCAGGCAATGGTGAAAAGGTGGGGGAATTTTTGGAAAGAATGGATGAATCTGTGCAGCTTTTAAATAGATACCAAAACACTTAAAATATGTTTGCTTTGGATTTTTTTAATCACTTTCCTTGGAAAACTTTTATTCTTGTTTTCTTTTCTGTCTACATTTACTTATGTAAATCCTTGGCTTTTCTATATTTTGTTAATATGAGTAATTTAAATATACCTAATGTTGCATTTTTCTTTGGTTTGAGGTTAAAGGTGTGACCATTAGAATCACAAACTACTTTGAGAAGAAGATACTGGGGTAGAAATCAATTGATATTAAATGTTTTCTTCTCTGATAACTTTATGATAGAAATGAGTGAGAAAAATGTGTGATGGATAAAATGCCAAAGACCAGAGGTGGGGGTTCTGTGAAACTTATGAATGGAATAATTAGGCCTTGAATAGCCAAGACTTGAGTATGCAAGAAAATTTGATAATGCTCAATGCGTTACTAGCATACAAACAGTTGTTTTAAGAAACTATGGTAGTTTTTAAATTTATGAATTCATTAATTTTTTAGGTGTGTCAAGCCTGAAGAGAAGTCTCTTGGTGTGGGATTACATGCATTCTGTACACGAATACTTGGTAAAAATAGTTATTTTTCCCAATATCACATCAGACCACTGTTAAATACCAAGTAAATGAAGTCACTCCCTCAGAGTAACAATTTAGCAAGTATCCCTTCTGCTTGTAAATAGCACTTTGTAATTAGTATGAGAATAAAGAACAAGAAGAAATGAAAAACTTCTTCCTTTTACTTGAAAAAGACCTACTTGACATTCTACTTTTCATCAATACACTTGAAAAGCAAAGAGGCAATGCTTTAAAATAAAGTGTGCTTGTGGTTCACCCAAAATATTGCAGAAAAAAGTATAAATAATCATCAATTCAATGGTTTTCTCTACTGATAATTTTTTATTTTGTCTTTATCCATCTGATTATTTACCTTTTTTAATCTAGAAACTTAACTGTAAAAGTAACTTCTAGTTTCTAAAAGTAAAATTTAAAGCTGTATATTTATATTCTGTTAAACTGTTCTACAAATAGAGAAAATTTTAATACTTTCAAACAAAACAACATATCTTCTTACCTTGCTAATGGATTCTTCTTTCTTCCTTTTAATTGTAGCTGGAATTCCTGCACCTATATATTTTGGAGCTTTGGTGGACTCCACATGTTTACACTGGGGAACTTTGAAGTGTGGTGAGTCAGGGGCATGCAGGATATATGATTCCACCAGCTTCAGGTAAAGATAGTAATTTTAAAAAATTGCTTTCTAAGCAGAGATGATGTATAAAATGGTACATGGTACCATGGTACGTGTCTAACACTTTCTTTGTCAGGTGACTGGACTACTTTTGGTTTTATTTACAAAATAGGTACTGATACTATATCTCCATTTCTTATTTACATATTCATTTTATTTCCTCAATATTTTCAAAGCACTTGATAAATATAAGCACAGGTGGCTTTTGAAAGGTTGTTCCTTAAATTGGTTGCAATCAGTATATTACTGAAGGCCATGTCTGTGCAGTAACTACCTATCTAAGCTATATTACTCTCAAGTATCGTCGTTTAATCCTACATCATTCCAACATTTTACTAGCTTAAATCCTTGCTTCCTTTGGCCATCCACTTCTGATGTCTAAAATATTTTTTTCTCCCTTAGTAAATTTCACTGACACAGTATTCTTCATGTTTCTTCAAGTCTTATTTTTTGTAAATATAGATCTGATTTTGAGGAAACTTCATCGGATATCAACCTGTTTTGAACAAAAAAACTCTTCCTTTTTTCTCTTTATTTTCAGATTCTTTTCCATTTGGAGACCTGAATTTTGTTTAGATTTGTCTTAATTGCTCACTATGGGCAGTAAGAAAACTCTTTTAATTACTAAAAAATGGTTTGATATTGTTTAAAAGAGTCTAAGGTCTTCTCTTGATCAGTAAAAGGATATATATGTCAAGAACTGTGAAGAGAGCAGACAGAATGAGATTCATGTTTTCATCAGTTCCCTTTTCCTCAGTTATATTGACTATAAGGCAGACAGAATTTAAAGTAAGAAAAAATCATAGAGTTAAACAAGAGTATTACTTAATAATATAAGAAATACTTTACCAAAAATATATAACAATCATGAACCCATATAAATCTATCACTATAAGCTCAAATATATAAAACAAAAATTCACAAAATTACAAGCAGAAATCTACAGAGTGGAAAATTGCAACACACATTTACAACAAGTGAATATAAAATACAGGTGAAAAATTCATGAGGATATAGAAGATTTGAACCATCTGACTATGCTAGATATATAGCGATTTTTTTTTTTAACCCAACTATCAGCAACTGTAGGAAAATAATGGAAATCTCTTTGTAAAACAGATTTAAAAAAATCTTTTGCATATTATTGCTGTGATACTAAGGAGGGAATAAGACAAAGATACACCCAAGAACTAGATTAAATGATCTGCTCCCTCTGTGATTATTTCTAGTATCACTATGAAAAAAACTAGGAAAAGCCTAAGAACCTAGGGAAGTAGGAAAAGCAAAGGGAAAATGAACAGATTTGGAGAAGTAAATACAGAGAAACAGAGCAAGCAAAGAAAACCAAAATAGACAAACAACAACAAAATACTCAAAAAGAGTTTGTAAACTAAAACATTAAAATACATGAATAAATTCAATAGTAAAAATGACAAGCACATAAATTATCAGTTGAAACATGACTTCATTCCAGATTAAATTTACTCTAATGTAAGAGTCTGACAAACTTTAAAATAAGATGTTTAACCAGCTCAATAGGATTAAAAATAAATTGATAGCATAATACCCATTAAAATGAATAAGAAATAACAAAAAAAATTCTAGCAGAAATAAGAATATGAATAAGAACTCTTGGAAATATGAGATTAAATGGATAACACTGGAATAAAAGAAATTCTAAATAGATAATAAATTTCAAGTCCACATAAGTTAAAATGAGAATTGGTGAACTGAAAGTGGTTATTGTAGAAATTATCTAGAATGAAAATTAATGATTCGAACTCATAAACAAAAAATAACCACCTTAGTAATTTTAAAGATCAATTAGCAATTAAAAGATATATCTCAGAAATTTTCAGAACAGAGAGCAGAAGAAATAGCAGAGATAAACTATTGAAATAATGAATTAGAATTTCCTAGAATTTAATAGAGACATACATTTTCAGATCAAAAGTGCTCTTTACATGCCTAGTAGGATGAACTAAATAGATATATCAAAGTGAAACTACAAATGTTCAAATTAAGAAAAAAACATAAGCACAACCCAGAGAAATAAACATATGGCTTATAAAGAAATATGATTAGACCAATAGTGATAGATTATCAACAACCATAGATCCTAATATCTTTATGATCCTTATTGCCTTGGGTTTGAGTTGAAACAAAAAGGCAAACTAGAGAACAAGAAATGGGCAAATATGACTGCCTATAAAACTAAAAACTTGTTTGTAATTAAAGACACTGTTGACAATGAAGAATGATAGAACATAAATCGTGAGCATCAGGGACTCTCATACACTGCTGGTGGTGAATAAAAACTACTGAAAAGAACTTTGGGAAATATTTACTAAGTTGCAGGCACCAAAAGATACCTACTTCCCTTGCGGCTCAGATGGTAAAGCGTCTGTCTACAATGTAGAAGAGCTGGGTTCGATCCCTGGCCTGGGAAGATACCTTGGAGAAGGAAATGGCAACCCACTCCAGTACTCTTGCCGAGAAAATCCCATGGACGGAGGAGCCTGGTGCAGGATACTGTCCATGGGGTCGCAAAAAGTCGGACATGACTGAGCGACTTCACTTTCTTTCTTTCTACTAAGTTGCATCCTCTAAAATCCTTAGACATATTTTAGAGAAACTCTTGCTCATATGCACAAGGAGACATGTCAACCAAGGTTTATTACAGTTTTATTAATATTAGAAAAAAAATCTGAACAAAAGTGTCCAATAGGAAAATGGATAGTAAGCTGTGGTGTGTCTATTACCGAACTCAGGTTTGGTTGCTAGGTATTCGAGAGGCAGTGCTGGTAGAGAGGAAAGGTGCTTGAATCAGAAAAGCTGCCAATCTTGGGAGAAGGTGAACTCATGTCCAGAGACCAACTCCAAGGATTCTGCTCATGACTGTTTTTAAAGGAAAAATATTGGGGGGAAGGATCTCAGAGAATCATCGAGGCAGCAGGGTGGGTTCTGTGATCTCCACTGAGTGCAGACTGGCTGACTCTCTTCAGGTGTTATCTTGCCTGAATGATCTTCAGGATTGCCAAAAGGGCTGTTGGGGGGCAGAGAGCTTATCATTTTTTAGCTATTTAATTCTTCATTCGTACCTCTTTTTATCTAGGAAAAGAATCAACAGGTTAGGCAACACATGGTGTACACTCAAGAAAGCATAAGTCAGGAATTGGTTTCAATTGTTTAGTGATTTCTTTACTATAATTAGGTTTTTAAAGTTACAGGGGACAGAAATGAGTAACAGAAAAAGGGCAAAACAATTGCTTTTATGTTCATATGTGCAATGTAGTTAAATAGTTAAAAAGCAACAATGTAGAACTACATGTATAAGCCTCGTTTTAAAATGGTGGACAGATAGAAAAAAATTTCAGAATAAAAACATAACATTATGCCAATTATTTAAAATGTAAAATATATGCAATAATTGTATAAAGTATGAGTGGATACATGCATAATTTGTAAAGCTATAGAAATAAAGTAGGAACAAATTCCATAAAATTCAACATAGTGTTACATCTGGAGTGGGTTAGAATATAATAGGATCATAGGAATACACAGAGGAATTAAATGTATTAATATCTTTTAAATTGGTCTGAAACAAAAATGGCAAAATTTAATCATTTAAAAAACCTGGGTGATGAGTATAAATATGTTTAGCTCTTTTTTTCCTTCATTCTTAATATGTTTCCTAATAAGAGAAAATTTTAGGACTAGGAAAATAAATACAAGAAGCAGAAATTCATAAATAGACTATAGACCATAGAAGTAACCAAAAAGCTGTGCTTTTGAAAAGATTAAAATATAATAATAGCAATCTGGAAAGGCAAATAAAGAGAAGAGGCACAAATAAGCACTATTAAAAATGGAAAACATAAGTACAGATACTTTGGAATTTTAAACATTGTAATTTGGAAGCATATTAAATAGAGAGTTTTTTAGATAAATATGTATTACCAAATATTACTATAACTATATAGAAAACATGAATATTTTTATAGTCATTAAAAAATGTGAATGAGTCACAAATTCTCATCTTCCAAAGGCATCTAGTCCAGAGGCTTTGAAGGCAAGTTTTACAAACCTTCAATGAACTGATGATCCCTGCTTTATACAAGTTATTCTTAGACATGGAAGAAGAGGGCAAATTTCCCTATTCATTTTATAAAGCTAATGCAATCTTGATATTGACATTAGACAAGTTCAGTACAAGGAAAAAGTACAAGCTGATTTTAGTTATGCTTGCAAAAAGTTAACAAATTGAATCTATTAATGTGTAAAAACTAACAAATAGAGTTTGTTCAGAATAATAATAATAGTCTTGGCTATTCTGCTAACTACATACAGAAAAATGATTTGGTGATATTTTACAAATTCAAAACTGAAACTTTGAGCAAACTCAGAAGAGAAAACAATTTCCTTAACCTGATGAAGATCATCTAAGGAAACACAGGAGTAAATATTACAATTAGTGGTGCTTCTTTGGAAGCATTCTTGCTAAACACTGAAATAAAACTGCTATCACTGTCAGTATTAAATTTAAGTTGGAAATTGTATTTAATGTAAAAAGATAAAATAAAAATAGTAACAAAAGATTAAAAAGAGGAAAATAAATTTTGATTTTCCCGGATAAAAAATTTCCCAAATCATTTTTAACAAAAGTTAGAATTCATCAGCTAGCGAATGAAAGCTCATGAGGTTCATTCCTAAGATTCATGAGATTCATTGGTAAGGCTGACATGCAAAACAATTAGCTGCTGTTGTCCTTATGGGGTAAAATATTAATAATTAAAAATATGCAAAGCTAGTTATTATTCACCACAATATCTTCATAAGTTTTAATATGTTTTAATTTTTTTTTAAAAAATAGATACATCTACCTTGGATTACCAGCAGCACTGAGAGGATCAAGCTATATTCCAGCCTTTTTGATCCTCTTTATTTTGAGGAAGTATCGACTACCTGAGGAAAATGCCTCTTCAGAAACTATGCTTGTGGCAAAGCTTACAGGGAAGGAAAATGAGGGCAAAGAAATGGATCAAAATGCCAAAGTTTTGAATGACGGTGAATTGAAAACAAAGCTATAATGCTCTTTTATATCATGCTTTCCAAAATTGGAGAACACAATACAACTTAATCATTTTTAAAATCAATAGAGGTACTGCAGATAACTTTTCCTTATTTTTTAAGAACCTCAACATTTTTTTTTTAACTCAAGGGGAAAAAATATTCATGATAGTATTTCTGAGGCAACAATGGCATTTGAGATTTTCCTCACAGAGACATTTATAAACAAAACAGAACATTAGAACCAGCTTTATTTTTATGTTAAATTGTTAAAACAACAATTTCTCTTTTAACTAATGCAAAATATTTCCCACATATCTTCCAAATGATTTTTTAAAATTTCCTATTATGAAAATCTACTTAATATCCTGCTTTGATATCATGATTATTAGGAGACTGAAATTCCTGTCTTCGTATGTGAATATCTAAGGATTTTGTTCAAATTTAAGTGAACAGAGTGAAAGAAGTGAACAAAGTCAAAGACTTTAAGGGAAAGAAGCCTAGATGTTTTTATTTTATTTTGGAATTATTCTTAAACTCTTCCTATTTATTCCAGACATGATTCTTTTAAAATAGATTATTCAAAATAAAGGACAGAAATGGTATGGACCTAACAGAAGCAGAAGGTATTAAAAAGAGGTGGCAAGGATACACAGAAGAACTATACAAAAAAGATCTTCATGACCCAGATAATCACGATGGTGTGATCACCAACCTAGAGCCAGACATTTTGGAATGTGAAGTCAAGTGGACCTTAGCAAGCATCACTACAAACAAAGCTAGTGGAGGTGGTGGAATTCCAGTTGAGTTCTTTCAAATCCGGAAAGATGATGCTGTGGAGGTGCTGCACTTAATATGCCAGCAAATTTGGAAAACTCAGCTGTGGCCGCAGGACTGGAAAAGGTCAGTTTTCATTCCAATCCATAAGAAAGACAATGCCAAAGAACACTCAAATTACCACACAATTGCACTCATCTCACATGCTATCAAAGTAATGCTCAAAATTTTCCAAGCCAGGCTTCAACAGTACATGAACCATGAACTTCCAGATGTTCAAGCTGGTTTTAGAAAAGGCAGAGGAACCAGAGATCAAGTTGCCAACATCCACTGATCATCAAAAAAGCAAGAGAGTTCCAGAAAAANTGTGAGAGTTGGACTATAAAGAAAGCTGAGTGCTGAAGAATTGTTTTTGAACTGTGGTGTAGGAGAAGACTCTTGAGAGTCCCTTGGACTGCAAGGAGATCCAACCAGTCCATCTTAAAGGAAATCAGTCCTGGGCGTTCATTGGAAGGACTGATGCTGAAGCTGAAACTGCAGTACTTTGGCCAGCTGATGCAAAGAACTGACTCATTTGAAAAGGCCCTGATCCCGGGAAAGATTGAAGAGGGAGGAACAGGGGACGACAGAGGATAAGATGGTTGGATGGCATCACCGACTCAATGGACATGAGTTTGAGTAAACTCCAGGAGTTGGTGATGGACAGGAAAGCCTGGCGTGCTGCAGTCCATGGGGTCGCAAAGAGTCGGACACGACTGAGTGACTGAACTGAACTGAACTGACTCACTAATATGCTATCACTTGCTTTCAGTTCATTCCCTCCTTTGTGATTCATATCATATATTTTCTCATTTTGTCCAGAGTACTGACAAACTTAGTCAAGTAATTAAAAATCATGTAGCAAAGATTTTTGAGGTTTTTTTTTTTCTTCACCTATTCAAACTTGGCAACTAAACTTTGCAGACCAATACGATCCCCTGAAAATTGGTTGCATCATTTAAGAAGAAAACAACAGAGAGGACTGAATAGAACAGGTTTGGGTGGAAGATTAAAAGTTGAATTCTGTGCCCATGAAATTTGAGATTTCATCTCTGAGTGTATTAAAAAGAACCATGATTCAAGACAGGAAGTGTTGACACTGGAGAGAGGAGCTAAAATCATTGTAACTGAGGAGTTCCAACTCAGGGGAGGTGTGGCAACTGCGGTGATGGACCACTGGGTATTAGGGTCAGGTGAAATGAAACTTGGAGCTGCTGTATTTGGCAAGGGAGCAAATGGGGAGAGTGGTCTGCAAAGTAAAAGAGGAGCAAGGACTCACCTCGTATCTAGAGAGTTGTGAGAAAAACAGCTACCATATGAGAAGCTTTTTGGGGAAGCAGCATCCTCAGGAGAAACTTGGATTTTGGTGAGGCTGAAGCTGTGAAAAAGAATGCTGGTTTATAAGTTTTAGAATATGAACAGTTTTGGAGATGAGGGACTCAGAATTCCAGGGAACACACTGAAAGTGGGAAGATTTCAAAATTTGAGTCTGAGAGAAAAAGTTGATAATTGGAAGTGTGGAAATTGGACAATGAAAATTAGAAGAAAGGGAATGAGGGAGCATCCAGAATTCTGGGAATTTTTAGGTAACTGACATAGAGAGATGAGTCCTGATGGATTTCAAGGCAGATGGTGTTGGCAAGACCATGAGTGTCAAAATCAGGCGGTGTCATGACTGGGTTCCCTCATGACTCCTTGTCACGGAGGTGAAATGAAGAAGCAGAATCTTGCTTGAATACCTGTGGCTCTTCCTTGACTACTACTGATGGGTTTAAAGTGATCAGGGAAAGCTGAGTCTTAACTCCATGCATGGTTCACCCACTTGAATACCCTAAATGGAGCAAAGTAGGTCAAGAGAGATGATTTTGGACCCAGTGTCTTGGGCTCACCCTTATTCCTTGCTGGGAAAGATGGCATTTTGCTGTAGGGTTCTTTTTTGATGCTTCTTGAGTGTTGGAATGCTTTTGTTCAAGTTTATGAAGCCTGGGAAAGTCAGTTATTATTCTGGGCATTTGGCCTCTCTCAGGATAGGTTAGAAGTAAAAGTATAGCAGATGAAAGTAGAGAGAAACAGCAGGAAACAGGTGATGGGAAGCCTAGAGCCATTCATGGTCTTATTTAATATTGCAAGGAGCCTAAGTTCTTAGAATAAGAAATGGTTTAATATATTATTTATAATTGTAAATATAACTAATATTTATGGGAATTTTACAAATAAGTACTTAGAAAAACCATGAAAATTGGGGAAAAGCATAGAGGGAAGGAGAGGAATTTTTCATATTTTATAGCACAGAGTTAAATGTGTTTTAATCATGATAAATCATGATAAGATGTGCAAACACATCTTATCGGAACCACAGAGAAGTGGCTGCCTCTGCAGCATCAGACCCAGGAAGAGACGCAAAGAGCAATGCATTTTCTTTTCATTTTTGTCTCTTTTATATTCTGATTTCCTTTCCCTGTCACCACTTCCCTGGTGGCTCAGACTGTAAAGCGTCTGTCTATAATGCAGGAGACCTAGGTTTGATCCCTGGGTTGGGAAGATTCCCTGGAGAAGGAAATTCAACCCACTCCAGTACTCTTGCCTAGAAAATCCCATGGATGAAGGAGCCTGGTGCAGGCTACTGTCCATGGGGTTGCAAAGAATCGGCCACGACTGAGCGCCTTCACTTTCCCTGTGAATGCAAAATACAATGAAAAAATAATGTTTCACAGAGAATACATCAGCAAAAACAATAATAAAAGAAGTAAGGCATTTTAGAGAAAGGGAAGAAACTGAGTCCTCCAATTGTGAGAGCTTCAAAGGTTCTCCAGTGGGTGTTTATTGAACAATTTTTTTTCTATACTTGGTCCTAGAGGTTTGTGTGTTGGTGCATGTATGTAAGGACATGGTAATAAACTAAGTTGTAGGCTGTAAAATTCAAGTTGGTGCCATTTTATTAAGTGAATACATATACACAGAAAACAATGACAGAATGATAAACAGCACAAAGTAATTTCAAACCCTATGAGTCACTAAGTAATGAGTGACTCATAAGATGAATCACTAAGTAATCAGAATTTTTTTTTTTCAAAAAGCTTCCCATCCAGTCTTGAGGGTAATGATGACTCTGGGTTGATAAAAGAAAGATTAACACTATGTCTTGATTCACAGAAGGGTAGAAACAAATGTAAGAACATCTCTTTTGCTGCTGGCTACAGTTATAGAGACTAAAAGCTTTGATCAATGACATACTGGCAGAGGCATAGATGGGAAGGGATTTCTTTCCAAAATAAGAAGACAAAGCTCTCTGGGAAGACACTTTGCCCTTTTTCCTCTTCCTTTGGGAAATGAAGGTGCTTGACTCAAGGAGTGGCAAGAAGCACTGGGATAAAAGATGATGAAACATGGTGTGGCAGGGAGACAGGAAGAGCCTGGCCACTAGCCAATACAGGGCTGAGTTTTATGGATTTTTAAGCTTACCAAATTTGAGAGAAAGGCCTATAAAAAAATTCAAAATGGGGACTTCCCTGTGACCCAGTGGCTAAGACTCCATGCTATCAATAAAGGGGGCTCAGGTTTTATCCCTGATCAGGAAACTACATCCTGCAGTTAAGATCTGGTACCACCAAATAAATAAATAAATATTTGTACTAAATTCAAGATGATGAAAAACTACTGTAATGATGTAAAGTAATTAGCCTCCAACTAATAAAATAAATGGAAAAAAAAATAAATTCAAGATGATGAATACAAAATAAAGTTAAGAGTGAATATTTATTTAGAATAAGAATTAAAAAAAGTCATAACAAATTCCATGTGTTATACTTCAAGAAGATCATGATTTTTTTAAAAAATCCCAATACAAACATTAGTGTTAAATGGGAAATTTAATTTTAATAAAGGTTTCCTGCTGAGTCCCTTGGGCAGCAAGGAGATAAAACCAATCAATGCTAAAGGAAATCAACCCTGAATAGGGTTGATTCAACCCTGGAAGGACTGATGCTGAAGTTCCAATACTTTGGCCACCTGATGTGAAGAGCTGACTTATTGGAAAAGACCCTGATGCTGGGAAAGATTTAAGGCAGGAGTAGAAGGGGATGACAGAAGATAAGATGGTTGGATGGCATCACTGACTCAATGGACATGAGTTTGCTCAAACTCTGGGAGATGGTGAAGAACAGGGAAGTCTGGTGTGCTATGGTCCATGGTTTCACAAATAGTCAGACATAACTGAGCAACAGAACAACAACAACTCCTAAGGAAGAGAAGCTTTTCTCTTCCATGAGGATGGGCAACAAAAACTGTAGCTTGTGGTGCTGGTGAAAATTCCTGTGGCTGGGAAGGGTAGCAGGAAGAAAAGCTCCACCACCCAGGGAAGGACAGGTCACCCCCAAGATCCTGATTCACCGAGCCTTCCTGTCTCCATAGCCATGTCCACGTGAGACAAGAGATAGGCTCCAGACTAAGAAGGTGGAATTGGTGCCCTGTGGATAGATACTCCACAACAGCAGGCCTGAGAGAGGATCTGAGTTCTGCTCAGATAAGACATCAAAGACATCATATTCCTCATTCTCAAAGTCGAGGAGACCTTCCTGACTACAAACATACAGAAAGGCTCCTTGGAAATCCAAAGAGAGGGGGCATCACCTCAGAGTGATATCAACCTACTCATAGGCCTCTTAACTGGAGTGGGTTGCCATTTCCTTCTCCACCCTGATGGTCTAGTGGTTAGGATTCAGTGCTCTCACTGACTTGGTCTGACCTCAGTCTCTGGCTGGGAACCAAAACCTTGCTTCAAGCCACTGCAGACTGAAGCCACCCAAAATCACACCCATGATAACAGGATCCAGTTAAAAAGAAGAGTGGGGTATATTTGGGTGAGTGGCAAGAGACAGATTTTTCCTGGGTAGCATGGCAAAGAGAACCAAATCCACAAAGGTAACAGATCCTAAGTAAAGTTTTCCTAGAGGAATCTGAAGCTCTTGGTGCACTGAGGGTAACCATGCGTGTATGCACGCATGCTCGGTCACTCTGTGGTGTCCGATTCTTTTGCGACTCCATGTACTCTAGCCTGCCAGGCTCCTCTGTCCATGGGGTTTTCCAGGCAAGAATACTGGAGCCGGTTGCCATTTTTTACTCCAGGGGAATCTTCCCGACTCAGGGATCGAACCTGTGTCTCCTGCATTGGCAGGTGGATTCTTTACCACTGAGCCACCTGAGAAGCTCCTGACGGTAACCAGAGCAACAATACACATCAAACCCAGCCTCACTCTTGATACGGAGCCCACACTAAAGGTCTAGTAGAAGGAAAGATGTGCTCATCTCCAAGTTTGAAAAATATTTACCTCCATGTCAACTGTCAGCTACTACATTTATAGCCTTCAACAAAAATTATAAGACACAAAAAGGTAATAAAAAACACAGAATAGACAAGACAATCATCAACCCCAAGCCCAGATATAAAACAGATTAGTCAAATTATTAGAATTATTAAAAAAACAACTTTAAAAGAGTGAATGTGACTCAAAAGGACATTTTTACAGAGGGTTTAAATGTATAGCATCATTATGGTAGGATCAGTCTAAAACATAATGGTGAATAGACAAAAGTTGTTTAGTGCTTATGATCTCACTTTTCTGTTACTTTTGCTCTTGCTTCCTGAATATCTTCATGTTTTCTACTTCCACTCCTTTAAAAAATATATTGCTTAAAAATGATTTAAATCTCTTGCCCACTGTGATTGGAATCTCACTCTGGGTAAATATATGATCTCTTCCTACTGAACTAGAGATGAAGTCTTAATTCAAAGGGATAATGTTCTAAGGATAGAAGTTGAAACAACCTCAAGTTTAACAGTGGAGATTGGTTGAGACCCAGAGGTGTATCTGTGGGGGTTTTTTAGTGATAATTTTAAAATTTTATTGTTGACTTAAAAATGCACAATGTGAGAGTTGTAAATTAAGTTTTATTTGGGGCAAAATGAGGACTATCACCCAGGAGACAGATTTCGGATAGGTCTGAGAAACTACTTCTAGGAGGCAGAGGGCAAGGTCAGTATATATGTGATTTTGGAAAAGGGGGAATACATGCAATCAAACCCATATTTTTTGCAGAAGATTTCTTCTAGTCATGAGGAGTAGTCATCACCATGAAGGATTTTAGCACTTTTCTAGATGTGAAGAGGTACAGGTACAAGAACTGGGTTCCTAAAACTGCCTCCTGAAAATATCTGACCATCTGAAGCTCTGTTCTGCCATTTTCCCCAGAGCACAGAGTGCCTCATTTCTGCTGTTCACCATGAACTCCTCTCAGAGGGTGTTGAAAGTCAGCAGCTGCAGCAGCATATGATTTAATCCTTGTAGAGATAGATGGCAAGTGCCAATGTGCAGTTGACACCACTTTTCATCTATCTCTGAGCACATTCCCTTTACAAAACCTTGTAGGCTCATAAACTACAGGTTTAGAGTTGGTGTTGCTGAAACCACATTGCTCATCTAATCATCTCATCAGGTTGGTTCTTAGTTTCCAAGTGGTGAGCAAGCCTCTTTAGGGTTTCCCTGGTGGTGCTAATGGTAAGAAAACTGCCTGTCAATGGGTTCGACCCTTGGGTCGGGAAGATCCCCTGGAGGAGGGTATGGCAATCCACTCCAGTATCCTTGCCTAGAGAACCCTGCAGACAGGGGAACCTGGTGGTCGACAATCCGTAGGGCTGCAAAGAGTCAGACACGACTGAAGCGACTTAGCACAGCGCACACGGGCACCTTAGCGAAGGGGCACAAGAGGAAAGTGACAATGGCCACTGCCAAATTTGTTGTGATTAATTCTCAATACTTTTTTCAGGGGGTACAGTCTCCAGAAAGATGAATATTGAAATTGAGGCAAAGATTAGCATGGTCCCTATGAATGAGATACATGAACATCTTTATTCTAATATTTATTACAATGTATATTATCATACATTTGTATTTTAAGTCTTTAATAAATTTGCTAGAATACTGCTTCTGCTTTGTGTTTTAGTTTTTTAGCCAGAAGTCAAGTGGGATCTTAGCTCCCCAATCAGGGATTGAACTCACACCTCCCACCCTCTAGTTTGGAAGTTGAAGTCTTAACCACTTGACCAAGAGAATAAATTATCATACATTTGTGTGCCTATACTCCACCTCATTTGTGGGCTCCCAGAGGGCTAAGATTCTGTTTCATAAATGTTTTAAATCTCTTGTGCTTAGCATCAGATGGCAGTCAAAAAATACTTTTTTGACATTAAAAAATTTACCTTTTCATTTAAAGATGGTAAAGAAAATCTTCAAAAAATCAGAAACCATCATTACTTATCCAATGACTTAACACAGCTCTTTTTGCATGTTGTTTTTAGTTCTTATTTATAACATTCATATTTCATGTGACTGGCATTTTTGGAGTTCATTCGCGCATTCATTCTTTCAAGAATAATTCTTTCAAGAATAATTGATAAAGCACCTATTTGTCAGACACCAACTAGATATTGGGGGCTTCCCTGGTGGCTCAGATGGTAAAGAGTCTGTCTGCAGCTCAGGAGACCTAGGTTCGATCCCCGGGTAGTGAAGATCCCTTGCAGAAGGAAATGGCAACCCACTCCTGTGTGGGGTCACAAAGAATTGGACATGACTGAGCGACTTTCACTTTCAACCAGATAGTGGGAATAAAATAAGTAGGTAAAGTAAGTTTCTACCCTCCTAGAGCTTGTGACTAGTGGGGTACACAGATAGTTATCAAATAACCATAAGAAGTGTGAAATTACCATTTTGATAAATGCTATACTGCTACAAATATATTGAAAGTTTTTTTTTTTAAACCAATGAGGAAGTCAGAGACATTGAAGGAATATTGACTGAACTTAGATTTGAAGGCTGAGAAGCAGTTACATGGAGAAAAAAAGCATTTCAGGAAAAGACATTATAATCAAAGACCCCATTTCATGGAGGTGAAAGAGAGTGTGAAGACACAGTGAAAACAAGGAGACCTCAGTCTGGATACTCACGTCTTTCTTCAGAGCAGGAAGGCAGTCTACCAGTAAATCTCTGATTAATACTTCTTTCCCAACTCCATTTCTTCCTCAAAAATAGATTCCTTAGCTTGGTGCTTTGTTTGCCCTCTCAATCACTTACCTTTGTTTCACAAATTGCTTCTTTATCTTTTTATTCTACATTTTCACTGATGTTTAAAATATCAACTCTTCTTTAGATTCTATTCCCACATAGGTCATTACAGAATACTGAGAAGAGTTCCCTATACTGTACAATAGATTCTCATTAGTTATCTATTTTATATAAAGTAGGTGTGTATTTGTCAATCCCAGTCTTCTTTGTCAATCCCAGTCTTCCATCCCTCACCCTTCCATGCTCCCCTTTGCTAACCATAAGTTTGTTTTCTATGTCTATGACTCTATTTCTGTCTTATAAAAAGGTTCATTTGTACTTTTTTTTTAGGATTCCACATATAAGTGGTATCATATAATATTTATCTTTCTCTGTCTGATTTACTTCACTCAGTGTGATAATCTCTAGGTCCATCCATATTGCTGCAAATGGCATTATTTGTTTTTTTCTAAATGTATCTGCATCATGGATTTAGGTTTTGGGCCATTGACATCTTTCAATTTTATCCAGTGTATGGTTTAAATAGAGTCTTGCATTATTTTGCTTCCTTGAAGACTTTTCTTATCATATTCTTATCTCCATTGAATATTTCGCCTAGGATCTGTATTTGTGTTTAATAAATGCCATTGAATTAAAGATTAATATTTATTCTGGATTCTTGGATTCTGAAGTAGATCAAATAATCTGTTGTATATGTGTGAATGCTCCTTTCCTTCACTGTACATGTCACATATAAATATAAATTATCTTTTAATTTATGCAATTTTATAAAACTTTATAATTTAATCTTGTTAATGTTCTTCTTCCCCTTTAAAGTGTAAGCTCCATGAGGTAGTATCCTTCTTTGTTTATTTTACAGTTATATTTCATTTTACCTATCAGTTTCTTGACATTCAATAATTGTTGAAGAAATAAATATTCAAGATACCGCCTTTATTTTCATGCAATGTTTTAAAAAACAGCTCTGTAATTTTCTCTCTTTATTTTTTAATGAGACAAGATCCCATTAGACCAGTCATATAGTAACCTTGCCTGTGGGTGATTTTTCCAAATTTCTGCTTTTTTGATTAGTGAATCTTTCTTAGGTCTAGTTTGACACCACATTAATATCTATAACTTCCAATGTAATTCTCAGATCCTAGCAAACATTCATGTGGTGTGTCTTTGGTATACTCAGGGATATTATCTCCTATCATATAGTTTGGTTTTTTGTGTCTCTTTATCAAGAGTTCTATGTAAACTTCAAAAAATAATTCTGTTTATTTATTTTTGGTTGTGCGGGGTCTTCATTGCTGCTAGGCTTCTCTCTCGTTATGGAGAGTAGGGCTGTTCTCTAGGTGCGGGGTGCAGACTTCTCCTTGCCACGGCTTCGCTTGTTATGGAGCGTGGGTTCTTGGGTGCACAGGCTTCGGTAGTTGTGGCACGTGGGCTCAGTAGTTGCAGCTCCTGGGCTCTAGAGCACAGGCTCAATAGTGGTGGTGTGGGGGCTTCCTTGCTCCACTGCGTATGAGATCTTCCTGAATCAGGGGTAGAACCTGTGTCTCCTGCATTAGCAGGAGCCACCAGGGAAGCCCTATGCGGATTTCTTTAAAGGGGAGGTCCAGGCTTGTACCACAAATGTTTAGAATAAGAATCTTGGGTGGGTGTATGATTGTGATTTCTTTAAAAACATGTTTCACAGGTGATTTTAATGACCTCTATTTTTTTTTCTTTTAGCCTATTGAGAGTAAAAACTACAGTTTTTAGCTTTCATTATAAAAAGCTGTCATCACTAGCAAATGCAACTTTCAGTTATTTGTTCTCATTCACTCCACTTCTTGTCCAACTTGTGGAGGTGTGAAAGATGACTCTTTGTGTGCTAAACACAAACACAAAGAGCCAGGCAATTTTGAGACAGTTGGTAAATGATTCAGTGCAGACTCCATTTCTTATAGAGAGCAGACAAAGTGAAGACACACCTTTAAATGGGCTTTGCTTTCTCAAGTTAATGTCAGTGTTTCTTAATCACTTCCATGGACCTGAAGAAAACTTAACACAGTCTGTAATACGCTCTCTGACAACAACAACTTGCAAATTTTCAATTAGCTCTATTTCTTCAGTAGTATTTTAATAAGAGATTGGAAGAATATGCATCAGGGGTTGTGTGATAGCCAAACACAATTTCAAATTATAAAATAATAAGGTCTGAGAAATATATGACTTAGTTTATGAATGACAGATGTCATGATAGCATACGTCCTCAATTATAATAGACTTTAGGTTTGAATAACATGGTCCAAACTGGTTTATTTGTAAGGTATCAGGCTTTTCTCCATATTTAGACTACTAATTTCTCTCTTCCTTTTTCACCTATACCTATTTTCCAGTCACTAGTTTTATTGTACTACAATCATCTGAACAGATATTTTTCTTCTGTTACATATTAATTATAAGTTTCACCTAAAATTTGCATAGATCATGCATTCTAATCTTAACCACAAATGCATAGTCATATGTTAACAATGAGTACTCCCATTTTTTTTTCCCCCTTTGGTTTTGGCTCCATATAGTATAGAATGTGGGAACTGTCAGTGAAAAGACCAGGAACTACTCAAAAATAACATCCCACTCAATTAATACAATCTTATTTAAAAACACAGCAGCAGAAAAAGTTTTTCTCCCCTAAATATGTGTTTCATGGTCCACTTTGACATCATTAATTAATGGTCCTGAGTTTGCTTCATTCATGGCTTTTGTTTCATTTTCTGATGCCTTAATATCTTTCCCTTGGTATTTTTTCTTCATAGCAGAAATCAATACAATGAATAAAATAATGACTGGGAATTTTAATGCTGTAGTCAAGCCAAAGAAAGTATGTCTGTCAAAAGAGAAAAAAGAATCCATGTATAAAACACTTTACATTGTTGCTCTCCAGTATGCAGAAGACCTTAAAAAATGATGCTTGAAATCTTATGTAGAAATACTGAAGAAGCGATTCCAATGACTCTTTTGATAGGAGCAGAAGAAAACTGTGATTATTTTTAAAGGAATGTTGACCCACAGAAGCCAAGGATGGTTCAAGATCTGCCCAAGTGCTATCCATAAAGTAAGGTGTGTTTGGAATGTTTAACTTTCTCAAAGACTGATTAGTTCATGTGTAATGAGAACAGATTATAAAGGAAATGAAGTGACTGTGAGATAATCAAATTGAATTCATTTAGATTGAACCAGGAGCCTATGTTTACCTTATAGGCTTATGGTCCACAAGATCCTTGTAGTCTACTGAAAATTTTTTACAACAACCACATAAAATTACCTAGTATGCATGATTTATTCCTGTGATTTTCAACTGGTCAAACATTAGAATCATCTGAGGGGATTTTAAAACCCTCATTCCCCAGGCCATACCCCCCAGACCAATTAAATAAAAATTGCTGAAGATGGGACACATAAATTAGTATTTTGAGGGGATTCCCTGGTGGTCCAGTGGTTGGGACTCTGTACTTTCACTGCTGAGGGTGTGGGTTCAATCCCTATTTGAGGAGCTAAGATCCTGGCAAGCTGTGTGGTGCGGCCAAGGGAAAAAAAAAATAAATAAATAAGCATTTTTAAAAGTTCCTCAGGTGATTGTAATGAGCAAGAAAAATTGATGACCACTGACCTGGTAGGTTAGGAAGCTCTTGTCTCATAATGTTGTTAACTAAATGTTGACATACTTTATGCGAAAGATACTTTGAACAGTTATTAGGTTTAAATGAAGGTGAATAGAATCAATTTTATAACTTTGGGCTATTTATAAAGTTTATTAAATGGTGGCTATAATTATTAATACTGTTACTACACTGAAAATGATATCTCATTCTTTAGGAATTAACAGAGTCAAAGGAAAAAAAAATAATGAAGTACATTTATGACAACTTACCCATATAACGAGGAATTATATATCCTGCAAGCCCCTTGCTTCCCATGGTTGTTGATGGACCACTTCATACAAGCTCTATCAATCAGAGCCCCAAAATATATAGGAGCTGGAATTCCTCCTGTAACATCAGATGAGAAGATGTCAATGGAGGAGAATGTTTCAAACGAAACAGTGACATTCCACATTGATACATTTTGGATTCTGTAAAGGTTGAAAATTTTGGAGGACTCATCTATTGATTTGGTTTAACTCTACTTAAGAATCAAGATTACTGGGACTTTCCTGGTGTTCCAGTGTTTAGGACTTCGCCTTGCAATGCAATGTGTGAGGGTTTGATCCCTAATCAGGGAGCTAAGATTTCACATGCATTGTGGTCAAAAACTAAAACATAAAGTAGGAGAGATATTGTAAAAAATTCAATAAAGACTTACAAAAAAGCATAGTTATTTTTTAAAAAAAAGATTCAAAATTATTAGGAATCTCCAAAGCTCAAATCACATACAATAGCATCTTTCATCTACCTTTACCATGCCAACACACATAGGGAAAAAACGAGATTACATGTCTTTACATTGTTCTTCTTATAATACCTTAACTTAAGCCTGGTTGGCAAAAAGTAGAAAACTGTCAGTAAAACACAGAGGTTATGTTGGTCATATGTAATTTTTTTCTTAGGCAAGGGCAGCTGAAATAGAAGGAGTAGAGATATAACTTCACAGGGAAAGCAAAAAATTCTGCTGAAATGCAAAGACAGACGCTGCAAAGACAGAAGATTTTCAACTTAATTTTTAAGCAAAATTTAAGGTGAATGCCAGGTTTTACTGGTGGATCAGTGATAAAGAATGCACCTGCCAATGCAGGAGATGCAGTTTCAATCCCTGGGTCTAGAAGATCTCCTGGAGAAGGACATGGCAACCCACTCCCATATTCTTGCCTGGGAAATCCCATGGACAGAGAAGCCTGGCAGGCTATAGTCCATGGGATCACAAAAGGGTTGGATATGACTTTGCAACTAAACAGCAAACAACAACAAGGGTCCTGGCTGTGCTTGCCTCAGGGCTCCACTCTCATCATCTTGGAATCATTAGAGTCCACAATCATGCATTTTCCCCTCTATTAATTGTGTTCACTTTTAATACCTCTTGAAGCAGCCTGGGCTATCCAAATTACAGGCTCTGGTGCTGAATTTTGTTTCTGTTAATGTTCTGATCATCATGATGTCGAGGTCTTCAGTGGTCTGTTACCTAACCGAGTTTTCACTTGCAGTGTATGGTCTTGCAGTTTTCAAGGCTTTTCAGGAACACTTTTGTTGTTTTATAGCGAAGTGCCCACTGCTCTTGTTGTTATTGTTTGGTCACTAAGTCATGTCTGACTCTTTTGCAACCCCATGGACTGTAGCCTGCCACGCTCCTCTGTCCATGGGATTTCCCAGGCAAGAGTGGGTTGCCATTTCCTTCTCCAGGGAATCTTTCCAACCCAGGGACTGAATACATGTCTCCTGCTTGGCAGGCAGATTCTTTACCACTGAGCCACCTGTGAAGTCCATCTACCCTTACTGCTATTTTAATAAACTCTGAGATTGACTCCTAGATCTAAGCAGTGGTAATGTGACCAAAAGTTTAGAGATATGCCGAATTTCAACTTCTATATTGTTACATAAAAATGATAGTGATTCATAGTTTACACTTTTGGAAATTCCATTTACTTATGAAGTGAAGTGAAGTGAATGTCACTCAGTCGTGTCTGACTCTTTGTGACCCCATGGACTATAGAGTCCATGGAATTTTCCATGCCAGGATACTGGAGTGGGGAGTCTTTCCCTTCTCCAGGGGATCTTCCCAACCCAGGGTTCGAACCCAGATCCCCTGCATTGCAGGCAGATTCTTTATCAACTGAGCCACAAGGGTAGCACATTTACTTATAGTCAGTCTCAATTTGAGACTTAGAATGAGAAACCTCAGAATGTCAAGGAACTGGTGTCTGAGACAAAGATACCTGATGAAAATTGGTACTGAGAAACCAGGATTAGGAATTCTCAGGTTTTCACAAATCAAAGCCATCCTTTGTAAAATGAAAAATCAGTTCAATTCAGTTGCTCAGTCATGTCTGATTCTTTGCGATCCTATAGACTGCTGCACACCAGTCCTCCCTGCCCATCACCAACTCCCAGAGTTTACTCAAACTAATGACCATTGAGTTGGTGATACCATCCAATCATCTCATCCTCTGTCGTCCCCTCCTCCTCCTGCCTTCAATCTTTCCCAGCATCAGGGTCTTTTCCAATGAGTCAATTCTTCTCATCAGGTGGCCAAAGTACTGGAGTTCCAGCTTCAACATCAGTCCTTCCAATNCTAATGGTTGCTTCCTGACCTGCATACAGATTTCTCAAGAGGCAGGTCAGGTGGTTGGTATTCCCATCTCTTTAAGAAAAATATATGCCAACAATTTATTTTTCCAATTTAATAAAGTCACAGAATCTTTCTGGGTCTGATGTACACCCTGGAGTTGTTTTGGAGATATCATAACTGCTCCAAAAGGGAAAAGCAGAATCTTCAGAGTTGGTTTTGGGACATGAGTCTGCCTTCTCTCCAGATTGCTGGCTGTTTTGATTAAAGCAACTTTCCTTTCTATCAACACTTGCCTCTGGAGTTTTGACTGGAGTATTGACTTTTAAGCAGGCAGCAGCCAAACCTGAGTTCAGTTAACACCCATTCCCTTTTGCATTTTACATTTCTAATAAAGGTTAGCAGCTTCTGCTTTGCAGAACTAGTCAGTGGGACTGTGAAAGTCTGCATTTGTTGTTTGGCACGATCTGTGGGCCTTTGGAGCTGTTTTGAACATTAAGCCCCTCAGTATATAAGGACAGCCCTCCACTCTGCATATGGGAAGAAATATCCCTACATCTTAAGTTAAAAATCTTTGGAGACCACTGATTCTTGTTTTAGAAAGAATATAATACAAGTGCAATGATGCCTTATTCTTACAGATTGATTTTTACATAGAATTGACAATCAAATTTTCTTTTAGGTCATTTAGTTCTCCTTTATCTCATTATTTTTCATTTACCACAAAGATACAAATAATTTTTACTTATACCTTTAAAAACTTTCTTACAATTAGAAATCTATTACATTTACTCTTTGACATGAAAAATTGTATCTGAAATTTAGCATCTACATAGTTATCATACCTAGTGTTCGAATAGTTAGTGAATGGAAACCCATGGCAAGTGATTTCAGTTCAGGTTCAACATTTCTGAAATAAGATAAAGGTAAAGAATCATTAAACATCCTTACAATACCAAACTGAGTTAATATCAAAGCATTTTTCAGTATTATTCTTTATGACTGAATGAAAACCCTCAAGTGAAGCATTGACATTATTTAGTTATATTTTCAGTTGTTTTAGAAGGCAAACATCTGAATGGCATTAATAGTTATTACTCCTTTACTTATTCAATGTGTTACAAGTTCAAGACAGTTTTACAAACATTTTCATGCTTTATCTTTAGGAAATCCTGAGATAGTGGTTGAAATATAATTTATGATATCTATGAAGACAATAATTTCATGTAATCTATTTAGTTGACATAGGCCAAATGAGAAAGCAAATATGTTTATGTAGGTTTTCAGACCGAGTAGAATTCTTTTTTGTACCTTCTTTCTATCATTGCTGTTAACAGAAAAGTTAACTAATATGTTTCATAAACAACAAAATATAACCAGGAAGATCAAAAAAGTTATCTATATTCTAGTGTCTAGTGTATTTGAATGTCATTTGAAAGGTAGTAAGTACATATTTATCCTTTCTTAAAAATAAACTCAGTCTTGCCTTTAGAAAGTTCTTTCCACAATTTCATTTTTCCATGTTCAGTTAGCTAATGACATGACCATCTCTGATACAGTGAGGGACTAAGGCTCAAAAATTCTGTTTTTACCGAAATATTGATTTAACTGATACAAAGGCTTATTTTTTTTTGGTTTGAATGACTATATTTATTCAGAGATAAACTTTGTCATTTAACAAACCTTTGCCAAGTTCCTCTTATGAGATTCTATGCTAGTCTTTGTTCTTGATAAGAAAACGATAAATCATGTTTCATAGTAACTAGATGCCTTTGTTATTGTTTAGTCACTAAACAATGTGTCTAACACTTTGCAACTCCATTGACTGTAGCCCACCAGGCTTCTCTGACATGAGATTTCCCAGGCAAGAATACTGGAGTGGGTTACCATTTCCTTCACCAGGGGATTTTCCAGACCCAGGGATTGAACCCATATCTCCTGCATTGGCAGGTGGGTTCGTTACCACTGAGCCACCAGTGAAGTCCAACTAGATGCCCTTGGTAAGTCATTTAGCCTCTCTTAGCCGTAGTTTCCTTATTTTCTTAGTAGACTTATCTTGTATGTTTTGAGGATCCAATATAGTGAGCTAGCCCTCCAAACCTCCATTTTCTTTATGCAAAATTGTCTGTTAAGTCTTTTAGGAGTGCTACTGTTACGTGAGATTCTCAAAAGTATCCAAGAAAGCTTATAAAAATAGACAATAAAAAAATTAAATTAAGCATAGCATAATAAAAATTAAACACAGCAGAGTTATTCATTAAAAGAGAAAATGAATTGAAAGGGGTTTTCATCTGCTTTTTCAAAAGACAGGGACACTTCCAACTAGCTGAACTGAGGACTCACAACAATGTACTTGAGGGCAGTGAAGTCATGCTAGCATGAAGAGGATGTCATGCTAGTCAAGGAGGTGGTTTCTTTCCTGAGGACATAGTCATGAGGGAACCAGCCGTGACAGTTAACTAGTGCATTTAGCTGTCTCTCATGAATATCAGAATTTTTAAAAAGGGCTTTTGGAAAGAGAGAGAATGCAGTTTGCCTTTGGCTGAGCTCTCTGTAACAAGTGCCTGAAGAGTTACTTTTCATTGCTGTTGATTTTATAAAGGGTGCTTTTGGCATGCATGCCGGATACAATAGAGGCAAAATTGAGATATTTGTTATCAACTTGTATTTTTACCCAAGGAGTGGGATAGTGGGCAGGAGAGTTGAGGGGACTTGGAGCCCCCTTCCTGCAAGGGGGCTTGAAATCTTAGACAGCTCAGTGGAAATGATATATTTATGTGTTACAGTCTCACACACACACACACACAATAATGATCACAGACACTCCTACATCCACATGCACACACACTCACAGACCCCAATGCTCACACTTACATACATGATCTCATGCATACACACATCATTATCACGTAAAATATTGTTCACTGCAGTGTGAGTCCTACATCAATCTGTATGGGAACAGGTACTTTAGGTATTTTATTCACCGTGAATTATTCTTCACCAAATGTGGTTTAAATATTTGCCTATTCAATGAAGAAAGGAATCAATTCTGCTCATATGTGTTTCTTTTCTCTATGGTGGTATTGGAGAGACTAGGTCAAAAGCCATTCTTTTGGCTAGGATTAAAAACTTTGGAATATCATAGACTGTTTATATTAGTTTGTCTGTCTGGTTCCCAAATTTTTAAAGAAGAAATGAATAGGTGATTCACTCTGAGAGGCATCTTAAAATGAAAATTAGAAGTTCTTTTAGAATCACAACAGGATTCTTCCACATTGAGGCAATTGTCAATCAGTCTCTGTCTTAAAATTCTTATTAAGAGAATAAATTTTGTAGTGGAGATCAAATTTTGTAGATTTTGTAGTGGAAGAATCCAAGGCAAAATTATTAATAATTATGGCAGTGAAGTATCACAGTAATTCTAAGAAAATACACTCAGAAAATTTAAATGTTACAAAATCTGAATTTGGTTTCCAAATATATTATGGAAAAATATGTATATTATTAGGTATGTTTACAAGCTAATATACATAAAACCCCTTTTAAAAAGATGTACTCACTTAAAAATCAGCATGATAGTTGAGGTGCTTCCCAGTGAAGCAGAAAAAAGGATAAGTATTTGCGCTACTGTGTAAATATAAAATTTTCTCTTACAGTCATCACTTTTCGGACATTCACCCAACTTCATCGAGTTATTTTTGCTCTGGAAACCATTTTCTTCCACACAACTACAGTTATGAAACACCTAAAAATAGTTTTTGAAATATTACAGAATATATTTGTAAAATATGACTGGGCTATAAATATATTCCATTATATTTAAAGACATCTCACTCACTTAAGTTAAAATATTTACAGTTTTAAAGAAAAAATTCTAACAATGTGAAGTATTGAAAGGCATAATAGTTTTCTGGATTCCTTTCTAGATAAAAAAAAATTTTATTAACTTTTCAGTCGTCCCTAAATTAAAAATTAGGAAACAGTAGAAAAAAGTAATGTCTAGAACTCTGTAAATAATTTTCTCATTAATACGAAATTTTATAATATTTCTCTACTACTCACTTTTATTTTCTATAGCATACTTACTCTCTTTAACAATTTCTATGATGTGGGACAACCCCTGGGTAGGAACTGTCTAGGGAATCCAGAAAATATAGTAGTTTTGGAGAGGTCAAACCCAGGACTAAGTCCACCCACTAGAATGGAGCAGAGTTCAGGCAAAAGGAACCAGGCAGAGATGCTAGAATTATGCTTCGGCCAGCAAACACACCATTCGATTGCATAATGACAGATTCTAGGATAAATAATGCCATTACCCAAGAGGTTCAGCACAGCAAAATACCCTAAAAGTTAGGGCTCAGCAGGAGAAAATTTAGGAACAAATGATTTTTAGACTTACTTTAGCAGGCAATTTATGTAGCTAGATGGCCTTAATAAATTCTTTTCTGAGTCTAAGCTAAATGAAAGTTTAAGGGAAGTTTGAACCCGTTAATGCCAAAGACAAAATATTGAGGGAGGAACTGAGGAAGAATTTGAGTTGATACTTATTTGATGACCGAGTTTTACCTTTTTACTAAGTATAGTATGGAGAAGCTCTTTATATAGCAAGCCTAGTGGTCAATAAAACCAAACTTAGGTACAAAGAACATTATTTTGAGTGATTAAGAAGGGATGACATATTACTAAGAATTTGGTAAAAGAACTCCCCAGTGGTCCCCAAATGATAAAATCATTGCTAGTTTTAAGATATTTCCATAGTAGACAGAGCTCTCTTTAGGATTCTATCATCATGTGGCTTCCAGCCCTTCACTCATGGACATGGTGGAACAATATATTAAAAGGGGAACTCTTAGTGAAAGGCACTATAGCCATAAATATGAGATGTGGTTTTTAAAGTATAGTCTTTGGGGAATTTTTGTGCAAATTTATGTTTCATCTTCAAAGAATCTAGGTTCTTCAAAGTTCTTGGTGCCATTCATTAATGCAATTAGCATGACTATGAACAAGAAAAATGATGGGAAAATGTTTGAAAAGCAAAGACAGAAGGATGTGGTAGACAGCAATGATCATATTGGATGATACTGCTAACACTGGTGATAGGAAAAGGGCCCAGGAAATGAGATATTCAGTGGATTGGAAGTGGAATGGATAACACCATGGGTGATGCCCAGCTGCTGGAAGTTACCTAGAGGATTGGGAAGAACTCATAAATTGTATGGAAGGGGATATTTTTAGTGAAGAAGGCAGTGGCATTCCTACGGGAGTTGTTAGCAATAGGTAAACAGAGTATTGTTACCTTGGATAGGAGAAGTGCCAGCTTTGGAAAAAAATCAAAATTAGAAGTCAAAAATTGGACAGTCAAGTGAGCAAGAAGCCTTAATCAATTTCTTGGGAAGTCAAAGGATATTGAGCTTAGAGATAAGGTCGCTAGAATCTATCTGCAAGACCACACATAAATGGCTGTTTATCTAGGTTGACAAGGGATTGGCTCAAGACTTCCACTTGGTATCTGAAGAGTAGCGCATCTCCAACCTAATGGAAATCATATCCTTTAGTCAAATGATGTGCTTCCTAAAGATCTAAGTGTTCTTAAATTTCAAAAGGCCATAGTCTTATAAACGCAAGAAGAAAAAGTGGGAGTAACCTTCTGAAAATTCAAGCCACTTTGTTTACATATTACAGCCATCACAATGACAAGCAATAACGGGAATCTTTTTCTATCTCTTTACTGGGGACCTTAGTTGTAAAAAGATTTGACATGTCATTATCAAAGTTTGGTAAGTTATATCAAATCTGCAACTTTGATTAAAGAGAAGAAAGTAAAAACTAATACTCACAATAGACTTTTTGCTGCCACTTGAAGACGTACATCCTGCTAAACAGGGTGATATGTAAGTTATTCCATTGCTCCCACAGAGTGGTTCCCATTGAGTTGGATCACAATTGCAGTCTGAGTTGCAATAAGAAAGTGGTACATTTAGATGTGATGCCACTGGAGTATTTCTGGAAATATATGATAGACATGTATCAGAGAGAGAAGAAAAAGGGGAAGGAGGAAAAAAAGATGAGGAGGAGAAAAAGAGAAGGAAAGGGAAAGGAAGAGAGAGAGGAAGAGGTGAGGAGAAATAATGGAAACTGTTGTCTTTAAATCAGAGAAATCTTGCTTTTGCTTTCCCAAAATGACAAGAGTTTATTTTTGGTGCTTATTGACTTTTTCACCTTTTATGGCTACCCAGACACTATTTATTATGTAGAAAAACTAAAACATAAAAAAGAGACCAAAGAGGGTAGGTTTTACGAGGCTATTAAAAATTACTAAAAAAATCACTTTATTTTTCTGAAAATAATTCTGTTCAGTAGGGGCATGGCATTAGGCTAAGGTTCTTCCCAGCTCACTGTAAAGTCCCATGAATCTGTGAATATTACTCAATTAGTTTGAATTTTAAAATCTATACTTTACAGAAGAAAAGAATTCAACATGGACAAAGGAGAATACTTAAGAATCAATTTTTTAAAATCAAGAGCAATATAATCAATTGAGAGAGACTAGAAAAGCTTCATAAGGAACTACAACAAATTTTATAATAATTTACTGTAAAACATAGTTGTGCTTATGAAATATAATCTTATGGCTATATTTATAAAACAAACTATTTGCACAATTAACTTTCTGACTACAGATTTTTTTGAAAAATTCTTGTTTTTGGTAAAAATCTTAATAAATTAGCTTTGAATGAGAAAATAATTTTCACAAAGAAAGAAAGAAGTAGACTCAGAAATTCTGTAATCAATAATTTTACTAAAAGCATCTAATGTCTAATCCTGCTTGGAGACATATAACAGATGGGGAGTAATTTAGCGTAATGATTAATAACCTAGTCCAGACATTGCAATTAGACAGTTCTGTGTTCCCATTATGTCTGCCACCTCCTAACAATGTGACTTCACTTTCTAAAATCAGTTTTGCCATTTCTAAGTCATAAATCCTCATAGAAATTTGTTTTGGAAAAGTATTAGTTTAACTGTTCTCAAACTTTCTGTTCTCAGCAGTATTTTCATTCTTGAAAAGTATTGAGGATCCTAAAGGTTTTTTCTTCAAGTGTGTTCTATTTAGTGATATATATATGTATCACATATATATACACTACTAGAGATTAACTGCAGTAAAAAATTAATACATGAGAATGCACAAGTGCACACATCTTTAGCCATCAGACTGATATTATTATCACATATCTTGTAGCCTTAGAAAATATCACTATACAAGCACTGGCAACTTGGTCCAGCACTCTGTAATATCCTAAACAGGAAAAGAATTTTGAAAAGAATAAATACAAATGTATGTGTGTCTGAATCACTTTGCTATACACCTGAAACTAACACAACTAACTAATACATGATTGTTAATCACCTATACTCCAATATAAGATAAAAATTAAAACAGAAAACACCACTAGATATTCATGAGAAAATGAAAAAAGCAAACACTATCTTGTATTAGTATGAAAATAGTTCAGAATTTGTTAGCCTTCTGATAAAGTCTATAGGTTCTCAGACCACATTCTGAGAAAAGTGAAAGTGAAGTCTCTCAGTCGTCTCTAACTCTTTGCGACCCCATGGACTGTAGCCTACCAGGCTCCTCCGTCCATGGGATTTTCCAGGCAAGAGTACTGGAGTGGGGTGCCATTGCCTTCTCCAGAGTATCTTCCCGACTCAGGGATCAAACCCAGGTCTCCTGCATTGTAAGCGGGACGCCTTACCGTCTGAGCTACCACCTCTGCATTGTCACACTTTAAAAATGCACCCCAGTGACTAGCACTTCATAAATGCTGCATATATATGTTCTGTTAATAGTCATCACAAGACAATGAGTTTCATGAGGGCGCTGGTATATCCTGTAAATCTTCTTGACCTTTAAGGAGGCACTTAGTGCAATTTTACCGAATTAAAAATCACACAGAAGTCTAGCTGCCTTCTTTGACTAGATAGCACTGTTACTGAACTGTTTTCAGGGAATTGACTTTAGGTTAAAACCTATATGCTTGTGATGTGTGAAGTAGCACCATTCTGGAGTCACTGATTGGTTTCAAACGAGTCAAAGTTTCTCCAGGTCTCAACTAGAAAAGGAAGAGGATATAAGAGGGTTGGGTTGTGTAATCTCCAGGGTTCTTTCCCCCCTAAAGTTCAATGCTCTAGGTACTCTGTGTTTTGATTTACCAGAGTGAGTGATAGTTGATAGGAATATTCAACAACAAAGAGGATGAGGACAGAGTGGGGAGATAATTCAAGATTAAGTTGGCAAGCCTCCAAGAATAAGATGATGTTAAGTGAATGTGGGAAGGTTCAAATGGACACCTTTTAAGATCCAGAGTTTAAAAGCCCAAAGCCAACAATAAGCAGTGCTAAGAGCCATGGTTACTAAACTGTGATCCAGGGATCTTTACTTGTTACTTGGTGTGAACTTTCCTAAGCCATAATTGTTGGTTATATTCAGGAGATGACAGTAAATCTTCATAGAATCAGAAAGTACATTGGTAGGGGCCAGAGGTTTGGGGTGGAGGGCATAGGGAGAGGCAATGGGGAATTAGCATTTAATGGGGACAGAGTTTCAGTTTAGGAAGGTTAAAAATTCAGGAGATGGATTTTGGTGAGATTTGAACAGCAATATGAATGTACTTAGTAGGCACTGAACTGTACAGCTAAATATGGTTAAAATAGTGTGTTTTACACCATGTGATGTTTACCACAATAAACAAACAAAGAAAGCTGCACAAAGAAGTGTGCCCTTGATTTGGGGTAGAGACCATAGTCCTGGTGGCTGAGATGGTAAAGAATCTACCTTCAAATCAGGAGACCCAGGTTTGATCCCTGGGTTGGGAAGATCCCTTGGAGAATGGAATGGCAACCCACTCCAGTATTCTTGCTTGGAAAATTCCATGGACAGAGGAACCTGGTGGGCTAGAGTTCATGGGGTCACAAAGAGTTGGACACAGCTAACACTTCCACTTTTCATTGTAGTACTAGGTATACTGCACAATGTGTGATAATAATGAAAAGTAGAAGTTTTATAGGCCTAATATGCTATTATATGTAAATAATATCAATTCTAGTGCTAATAAAGATAATACCAGAAAACATAATAGGTGTACAGAAAAGGAGAACCCAGCACAATGTAAGGGTTTTCTTATAAAGATAATTGTTAAACATCAAAATTAACTGCAGATAAAGATTGTTCAGTCAATTTTGGAAAATGTCATTTATGTTTCTCTCATGTTTCAGCCAAGACCATAGTGGTTAGGACTAAGAGTTTTGGAGTCAAAACCTTAAGATTTGAGTCAGAATCGTATAATCTGTGTCTCTCTCTAAGTTTTGCTCTTTTTATCTATAAAATAGTGACAAAAGTACCTATCATTCATTGTAAACACTCCATAAGTAATAACTATTACTATTACAGACTATATAGCTTTTCTTTTGTGTATCTATGTTTTAAAGAATTTTATTTATATTGGAGTACAGTTGATTAACAATGATTGTTATAATTTTTCTTTAAGGAGGGAAAAAAAGGATCTTAGGAAATGAATCTTTTGAAATCTTAAGAAATGTTTTAAGAATTTATAAATTGACATTCCTCTCAGCTTAAAGTTTAGCAAAAATTGGTATCTGCCTTGCTTTTCTTACATTCTCTTACATTAAATAGCTTACATATTGTTCAATTGATATATTGATATATACAAACCCATCATAGGTCAGGGTTAGTCCAGCAACTGATTTGTTTTCACAGATTAGTGCAAAGTTTATTAGATGAAACAGGAAGGATATCGAATGGGCACAAAGTGCAAATTTGGCAATTCCAACCAAGGTAAATTTGAACTTTTTAACAATAAATCCTCCTGTAAACATTCCAGCTGCCAAAGATGGTATGGTTATGAATCCTAGAAGTAAGAGAAAAAAAATGTAATTATTAATTATATAAATATGGTTATCCCAAAAGTCTTCATGTGCGAAATGCTATCTATCAACCAAATTAATCCAATCTTATTACTTCTTAAACAGAAGACTGACAGTCTAGGATGGAGGTAGAGGACTAGTTCACCATGTGGAAGAGACAAAAATAATTTTTCCCTGCCAACACTAACGGTTTAGCTTCCCAGTAGCAAAAGTCAGTGACTGAGAATATCTGTATATCTGAACATATTGTTTCTATAAGGTACTTTTTGTTCTCTCCCCGGAAAACTACAACAAAGTATCGTCTTCCTGACTCTGAGACTTTTATCCTATCACCTAAATCCTATATATTTCTTTAAACGAGGACATATTTCTTTAAAATGAGGATTTCCTATCCTTAAAAACTTACTATAAAATTTCTCAGTACTTTAGATTTGAATACTTAATTAATATCTCTTCTTTATTCATCTAAACACACATATGCCCTGAGGTGATAAACAGGCCTATATGTGATATCACGAATAACTGATTCCCCTTGTAACTTTCATTTCATAGTCCTGCATGATTTGTTAAAGATGAAGATTCTCCTAACAAAAAAATTAGGCTGAGAACCTTATTAGGAGTTAAATTTATAGTTTTAAGTTCTCCAAAATTACTGCAGATGGTGATTGCAGCCATGAAATTAAAACACACTTACTCCTTGGAAGGAAAGTTATGACCAACCTAGACAGCATGTTAAAAAGCAGAGACATTACTTTGCCAACAAAGGTCCATCTAGTCAAGGCTATGGTTTTTCCAGTAGTCATGTATGGGTGTGAGAGTTGGACTATAAAGAAAGCTGAGCACAGAAGAACTGATGCTTTGAACTGTGGTGTTGCAGAAGACTCTTGAGAGTCCCTTGGACAGCAAGGAGATCCAACCAGTCCATTCTAAAGGAGATCAGTCCTGGATGTTCATTGGAAGGACTGATGTTGAAGCTGAAACTCCAGTACTTTGGCCACCTCATGCGAAGAGCTGATTCATTGGAAAAGACCCTGATGCTGAGAAAGATTGAAGGCAGGAGGAGAAGCGGACGACAGAGGATGAGATGGTTGGATGGCATCACTGACTTGATGGACATGAGTTTGGGTGAACTCCAGAAGTTGGTGATGGACAGGGAGGCCTGGCGTGCTGTGGTTCATGGGGTTGCAAAGAGTCCTGGCATGCTGTGGTTCATGGGGTTGCAAAGAGTCGGACATGACTGAGCAACTGAACTGAACTGAACTGAACTGAAGTTCGATAAGAACATCATAAACAATTATTTTCTTGTTTACTTATGACCTGTTTATATACCTCTTGATAAATCTAGCTTTAACTTATCAAACATTAAGTTTCTACAAAGAGCTGGGCTCTATACTGGGTATTCTGCTCTTCAGAATCTTATATTGGGGGTGTTGCTCTTTTAGTCACTAAGTTGTGTCCTACTCTTACAGCCCCATGAACTGTAGCTCACCAGGCTCCTCTGGGATTTTCCAAGCAAGAATATAGGAGTGGATTGCCATTTCCTTCTCCAGGGGATCTTCCTGACCCAGGGATCGAACCTGTGTCTTCTGCATTGGCAAGTAGATTCTTTCCTGCTGAGCCACCAGCAAAGACTATACTGTGGGTAGGGAAAGAATAATATGAGGAAACCTTTCCTTCATAAACAAGCCTTCATGTATCATTGGAAATAGATACTGTAGCTCCCCACCCCCCCAAAAAAACCTCTCTAAAATATGATATTTTTGGTTTGAATTATGTAGATATCAATGATGTGTTTACACTGATTTTTCTTTTGGAAACAACAATGCCCTATTTTTTATAAGTATTTGGGTCCTAATTCAAAGTTCATGAATGATGGGAGTATAATAGTCACATTATGAAAGGATTTGCCTCATGATCTCAGCACTAGATTGTAAGATCCAGTTATACAGATATTATAGCTACATGTATATTCACGTTCACATGTTACTTTTCCTTCAGGAATTCATCTCCTCCAAAATTACTTGAAGGCTTTGCTGGTGGCTCAGTGGTAAAGCATCCACCTGCCAATGCAGGAGATAGAGGCTCAAGCCCTGGCCCAGGAAAATTCCACAATGCATGGAACAACTACGCCCCTGGCCCCACAACTATTGAGCCTGTGCTCTAGAACCCGGGAGCCACAGCTACTGATCCTGTGAGCTGCAACTACTGAATCCTGTTTCCATAGAGCCTGTGCTCCACAACAAGAGAAGTCACCACGATGAGAAGCCCACACACTGCAATGGAGAGTAGCCCCTGCTCACCACAACTAGAGAAAGTCCTTGCAACAATGACCCAGCACAGTCAATAAATAAAGGAATGATATCATAACAAATAACATGAGATACAACTTCAAAGGCAGAGCAATGGTAATATCACAAGATGGATGGATCTGATAAAATTTGAAAAAAAGAAAACTGTGTTTCATAAAACAAGAAATTGCCTTCACAACAAAATGTCACTCGGAACCCCTTTCCTCAGTAGTTTGTCGTTTATAAAGCAAACATAAACAATGGGTCTCACCAAGCAAAATGCTCGTCTCAGATGCTGACTTGCCATACTGCTGTTCTACGTATTTGAAAATGTAAGTAATAGAACCAATATGGCTGCTGGCTTGTAGCAGTGTCAAAAATAATGTTAAAACATACAGGGGATTGGTGAGGATGCTTTTCAAGGACTGGAAGAAACCTATAAAAACATCAAAAGAAAGAAAATATAATGCAGCTTGAAGATACATTAATATCTTAATCCGGTAAATATAATTTATATGACTTAAAATTCCATAAATTTCTAGAACAGAAAGTCAGAGTACTCTACAATTCTACTGTCAGCAGTTTTCCTAAAATATATTACTTCCATTCTTTCCATATGTACATTCATATTTTTAAGAATAAACTAAATAAAATGGAGTATTTATTTTCATTTTATTTCCGAAATGGGATCAAGCATACATGCTGTTTGTTATATCAACTTGCTTATTCACTTCACATTTGGCTAATAGCACTCTACCATACAACTGCATACATGTTAGTTCATTTATTCATTTATTTAACAAATGTTTGGGTTTTGACTGGGTACCAGGTAATATGTTAGGCACTGAAGGAACAAAAGCTAACGAAATGTCTCTTTTTTATTAGCATTTAATAGTATAATTATTATGTTAATAACATAATTATTAAGTAGAAATTTACCTTAAAGATAGTATGAACCCAAAGCTCACAAAAATAGAATACTAAGGTTCAAAAATCATAAAGGTTAATTTAGTACCAGGACTCAAAACTGTTTTTTTCTGGTATATAGTTTCTACCATAAAATACTGCTTCAATAATTCTGGCAGTATTAGCAATCACCTTTATTAAACAGATATTGTGTCTCAAATGACATTATGACACCAGTAGGCAAAAACCCATGCCTACAGACAGGAGTGTAACAAATCCATAATTTCTGTACCTAGCAAGAATTATGTGATTTCAGTCTATGATTACCAGGTTAACCAGCTGCAATGGGAGTTAAAGTGGAAAGAATCACTTAGAAAAACAGTGGGAAGTATCAAAGTCTAGCAAGACCGAACCAGATATCATTCTTGAGAGATGGATGGTGTGGACTTTGAAAGGTCTTGTTCTGTAGAACTCTAAAGGTTTCCATTAAACATGGTCAGAATCAAACGTTCTATCCAACGGTAATTAAGAAATAGCTTCATCTGCTTATAATAATAAAAAAAAGATTAGGGCAAAGGACATAGAACAAGAAAGAAGAAGATGTACAGAAACGTATAGCAGGAATAAATAACATTTAAAATTATTAGGTCAAAATGCTAAACTTTGCTCTTTGGGATTCCCCAATCAGGAAGAACCATTGACTTGTGAGGCATTCTATGTGAGTTGTGATATTTGGTCAAAAGAAATAAGACATATAGGTTCACCAAATCATTGAATTTTTGAGGTGACTGAGAACTTGGACACCATTTGTACTTCTACATAATCATGATCCATTATGTAACCTCAATAACGGATCAATAAAAAACTCATGTGACATTAATCTGATAATCTCAGAAAGAAATTGCTCCATTTTTGGTCGATTCTCCATGTTTACAAATTGTTTCTTTAATGAACTGAAAGCTTTATTTCTTTCTAATCAATTAGTCTTATTTCTGTTCATGTTCATTACAGGTTTAAATAATCAACTACTTTTAATGGATTTAATTTGCTGCAGTATGAAAATAGTATAAATTGGATGAAAATTCAATGGGATGTTATTTTTAGTTAATTTCAAAAACCTCCTCAGTGATGTGCTGGTAAACGTTTAACAACTGATTCTTGGGAGCACAGTGCCTGATTTGGGTATTTCCCAATTTTGGTAATAAGTGGTGGTAACTTCTCCTATTTGGCCAATTTCAAGTTACCAATGTAGTTGAAAAATTAAATCTCTCATGAGCCCATACAAGTAACACCACTGCTTTCAGATTCGAGAGGTGGAGAGGAGAAAGTAACAATAAAAGGAGAAGGTGGAAGAACTGATGGGAGGGAGAACTTGGGCTACACCAACAGTCTCTAACGTCACTTCAGTTTTAACTTGAAAGGTTGCCAAGGGTTCAGGTGTTGTTCTGCTTTGACCCTTACTGCTCCACCATTGCTGTGTGACCTGAAAACTGCACTGTCAACATCTCATTGTTTTAACCATCTTGCTCTGACTGCTGCTGTATCAATCACAGATTAGCGCTCCTAAATTGTTCTCTATTAGTCTTTGGCAGCTTATGTTGGAAAGGAAAGTCACTATCCTCTTCTATGGGGGATTCTTATTCATATGACTGACTCCAGTACTCTTCACTACTACTCTTGTTTCTACTTCATTTTTGAATATTTAGGTAAGCAATTTTTTCTATATAAGTGCCAAGAAGGCAATCTTACTCTAATTATCTAGAAAGAAACTTGATCTGATTTCCTTCTGCATGCTCCGTGTCTCCACCTAAGTATAATTAAGTTACCCAGTTTATAGGCACTCAGAATTCCTTATATAGGCACTACATGGCTGTTGTCTATATACTTCTTGTTACAACCTCACTGTATTGTAAATACTTGAAAAGCAGAGGCAATATTCTATTATCAGGGCATAATATGATTCCTGGTACCATTTGTGAAGCGAAAGAAAGGAAGGAAGGGAGGGAAATAAAGAAGGAAAAGAAGGAACAGAGAGAGAAAGGAAGGAAGCGAGAGAGAAAGCAAGAAAGAAAAAGAGAGAGTCCTTTTAACTCATAATTTGTACTATATAATTTGGAAATGACTATATACTCTTTGGTTTACTAATAACAGATAGTTTTTTAACCTTTAACTGGTTTCTCCCTGCTAAAGACCACAGCCTAATCCTCTTCTCTACAGAGCTGATACGTGTTCAGAAAATATTATGAAGTTTGGTAGGAATCTTAGAAGAATAATCCAACCAAATTTAGTACAGAAGAACACTCACTTTAGATGATTTGAGTATGACATTATTTTGGAATAATCACCTCTCTCACTGGGATTAACAACTCCAAACTGACTATAAATGTGAAATACTTACCAGTTACAGTGTCAGTAACATTTTGCCCAGTCTTGGTCAAACTAGCCATTTGACTCTTTTCTTCATTTTGCATAGGCAAAGATATTGAGGATGCTGAAGCTTTTTTTTCTTTATTTGGTTTATCCAAAGTTTTGGGCAAGAAAAAGAATGGTATGGAAGAAATAATGGATATTAGTCCAGCCGCAAGGAAGCCAAGCCACCAAGCACCAACCCAACGAGAGTCCTGAGGAGTTATTCTGACAGTGCCTGGAATAAAGAATTAGAAGAAGCCAGTCAAAAATCATTTTGAAGTGTAAGAATTTCTGGGAAATAATGGTAATAATTGCTGTTCTTCATAGATGAAGAAAGTAAATGATGTTTCACCCATTCTGAGACAATTTTTTTTTCACACATTTTCATTTTTGAAATAAGGGTGAGTCTAGCATTTAATGACATCTTACAGTTGTTGTCTAGGAATCTGTCACGACACTGTTGTCATTGACGGAGCCTGCGTGAACTTGGTGGTTTTTGTGTTGACATGACTGAACAGCTGCCCTTATGGAACGATTAAAGCCTGAAAATTGTTTGAGGGCCAGCTTTGGAATTCTCTGGTGGCTCAGTGGTAAAGAATCCAACTGCCAGGACAGGAGACACAAGAGATGGCAGGTTCTATCCCTGGGTTGGGAAGATCCCCTGGAGTAGAAAATGGCAACCCACTCCAGTATTCCTACCTAGAAAATTTCCTGGACACGGGAACTTGGCGGGCCGAAGTCTGTGGGGTCACAGAGTTGGACATGACTGAGCATCACAACAATGGCAACATGGAAGGCATGAATCCTCACTGTCTGAAAACTTATATTGGCACCATCTTCTGAGGTCAAGAAATCATCAGCAATGAAACTTATAGCAGTCTGCAAGAAATTCCCAGAGCTAATAGTAAGGATTTTCCCCCCACTAGAAGCTGCATTTCCAACTCTTTGACAGCACAGAGGATGATGATGGTGAAGATATATACATACTGAAACTCCAAGTTCAAAATCTGAACTCAAAATTTTAGGGAAAAATCAGTGGTAAAGAATCCAACTGCCAGGACAGGAGACACAAGAGATGGCAGGTTCTATCCCTGGGTTGGGAAGATCCCCTGGAGTAGAAAATGGCAACCCACTCCAGTATTCCTACCTAGAAAATTTCATGGACACGGGAACTTGGCGGGCCGAAGTCTGTGGGGTCACAGAGTTGGACATGACTGAACATCACAACAATGGCAAAATGGAAGGCATGAATCCTCACTGTCTGAAAACTTATATTGGCACCATCTTCTGAGGTCAAGAAATCATCTGCAATGAAACTTATAGCAGTCTGCAAGAAACTCCCAGAGCTAATAGTAAGGTTTCCCCCCACTAGAACCTGCATTTCCAACTCTTTGACAGCACAGAGGATGATAATGGTGAAGATATATACATACTGAAACTCCAAGTTCAAAATCTGAACTCAAAATTTTAGGGAAAATTTAACCATTTTATTTCAATAATATTTTCCCTTAAAGCTGTGTGAGTGATATGTATGTGCTATATTTGTGTGTGTTAGTTACTCAGTTGTGTCCAACTCTTTGCGATCCCATGGACTGTAGCCTGCCAGGCTGATCTGTCCATGGAATTTTTTCAGCCAACAATACTGGAGCGGGTTGCCTTCTCCAGGGGATCTTCCTGACCCAAGGGTCAAACCCAGGTCTCTTGCATTGCAGGCAGATTCTTTACCTTTGAGCACCAGGGAAGCCCATGTGCTATATCTAAACAATTATAAATGAACTGTTTCAGTGAGTATAAAGCAAACATTCTAATAAGGAAGTACCACACACACAAACACACCATAGAAACCTGAAGCACAAGAATAGTGTTGCTACTCTTTGATGAGAGTAACATCTCTTAGCACGAGAAAACATTGATTTGATATAAAGAAGTAAATTATTCATTCTATTTATTGAAGTGGTTTTAAACTATGCACAGATCTGAGTTTAAAATTGCTTTGCATGTTCATATTATTTCATAATCAGCAACTCTAGTAGACTTTAGAAATGATTGGTAAAATCAGAGACTCCATCTATATGCCAAGTACTTACCATCTGTCAGAAATGTCATTTTGGTAACATTTTTTTGTGCTCTATCCCTGGTCTACACATAAGAACTAGAGATCATAACCTGTCTAGACACAGCCTTCTGAAGTGTTCTCCTTTGCTCACACACTATCATAAAAATTGGAAGATTCTACATGGAAGTCTGGATTTCTAGATTTTCTTAAAAACCAATCAGTAGATTTTGTCAATGCTGGATCCAGATTTCTGCATGAAAAGAATAGTTTGAGTCTGAGCAGTAAATGCATTTTCAAGTGTGTCCAGAGGGTAGCTCACCACCATCAGTTCTTACAAGTTTAACCATCATACTTAACACTCTTTATTCACTTGTTATCTAATTGGCTCCGTTGGCATTGGAGCTTGCCAATGTGTACTTCATAATATGTTTACATCACACTCATGACTAACTAAGAGAAGATGTAATTAAGTCTTGATATTTAGTGGTAGAAATGGGATTACCATATATCTAAAACACTATGAGTAGTAATTTCTGACTACAGAAAAGAGGCTACAAAACTATCATTCCAAAGATTTTAATAATCATTTATTTCTAGGTCCCTGGTGGTAAAAGAAATGATGAACCTGGAAGTGAATGAATAGAAACATAGAATATGTTTCACACATCCAAAATAGAAGACATAACATATTCCATCAGGTCCACATTTTAGCTTTATATTAAAATACTTGCAAGATTGTGGTTATCACTGGACTTCTGTGAAGTCTACTCTATGTAGACCTGGTGCAATAGAAAATCTGATTTGCTTATTTCCAAATGCTAATTACTTATTATATGTCAATACAGACACTATATTATTATGTTCTAAAAGAGATGGCATATCAGTGTACACATATTTGTGGCTCATTGTGATAAAGACCGCAGTAAAGACATGCTCTTGGTGATTAACAGGGGTGTTTAACTTTTGGTGCCAGTAGAACATGGTGAAGTAAGACTTCTCTGAAGAGGAGCCAAGTTTTAGAAGAGACTTTAAACTGTGCAGATAGAGAGGGTTTTCTAAGAAATGCATGTAAGTGACATCAGAGGGTCAACGGAGAGACCTGCAATTAGTTTGCAATTATTTTGGATGAAATCATCTTAAGTTCCTTAAATTTTCTTATTTTGTGCTTATTTGTAAAAGCCTGATTTAGATAGCTATGTGTGTGCTCAATTGTGTCAGACTCTGTGACCCCATGGATTGTAGCCCCCCAGGCTCCTCTGTCTATGGAGTTTTCCAGGCAAGAATACCGGAGTGGGTTGCTATTTCTTACTCCAAGGGATCTTCCTGACCCAAGGATTGAACCAGCATCTCTTGCATCTCCTGCACTGGCAGGCAGATTCCTTACCACTAGCACCACCTGATGTTGATAGGAGATGTATTTTATTTTTATTATAGATATTAACACATTTATTGTTTGTAACTTTTGACAATTAGTCTGCAAAAAGCCACTGAAAGAATGAATTCACTTATTTGGAAGGATGCTGTCATGTACTTCAAAAGCATTATCATGTTACCTTGTTCTGAGGGTACTTACTCAGATCCACATATCCAATATCCACGTACATTTTAGAAAACTGAGATACCAGTAAAAAGCCAATGATTGGACCAATCATTGTTACTGCAAGCAAATTACCTAAAAACATTATAAAAAATTTTTATCAGATGCCAATAATACATGGTTTTTATTAAATTTTTTAAAGTAATACTACTCAATATATTTCCCCAAATAACTTTTCATTAAATAAAAGAATGAGTTGAGGAGCATTGTTATTTCAAGTTACACCCAGGGGAAGTAACCATAAAATCTAATATTTTCTGTACATTACCCAAATACAAAGAAGAATGTCCTTCTTCAGCAAAATCATCGATGTAAGAAATCCCCAAGGGTCCAATAGGGGTTTCCCCAATTCCACGAAGCATATTACCCATTAGAACATATATCCACATATATGATCCAGAATCCTTTTCCCAACCTATGTAGACAAGAGAATGCTTTATTTTAAACATTAATCTTAGCATTCCTGTTAAAAACTCAACTAATGTAACCCTTTAATTATTCCATTTAAAGTGTTTTGTTCTTTTCTAATTAGAAGAATGATTTATAGTCACATTACAGAATTTGACAATGTAGAGAAAGACAAAGAAAACAAGTAAAATGATCTTAATCCCACCACACACAGAGAGCCACTTCTGATGTTTGTTTATATCTTTCACGTTTTTAGTGAACACAAAAATATGCATAATATTCTTTATGTTCTTATAGCAGGATTTCAATGACTGCATCGTAGTGTGCTGAATAAGTTTCATTATTTCTTTAATAAATTTCTTTCCTTGTTTGTTGTTATTGGCTGCTGAGTCGTGTCTGACTCTTTTGCAACCCCATAGACTGTAGCCCACTAGGCTAGACTGTCATGGGATTTCCCAGGCAAGAGTAGTAGAGTGCCATGGGATGCCATGATTATAGTGATAAATAAATCCTTCTGTATATTCCTGATTATTTCCTTTAAGATAAAGCAATAAAAGTAGAATTGCTGATTTTAACAGATATGCATATTTTGTCCTTTATCATCTTAAAAATTAACTTCCAAAAGAGAAATTTATACACTCTCTATAATACATGAAATGTGGCTTTTTCCTCTATCTCATTTCTTTTTTTAATTTTTAATCTTTTCCTATCTAATAGGTAACAAAATTTTTAACTAATACTATAATAAAAATGATTTGCATTTTAGTAGGTAAACAATCTTTAATTTGTGTAATAATTTGCATTTTTCATAAAGGGTAAAACTACATTTAAATATATTCATGCCACTTCCTCTTCTTTTACATTAGTGGCATATTTTCTTTGCCAATTTCATATCAAAATATTTCCTTTTTTCTTATTGCTTCTAGAAGCTCTTTATACACTAACAATGATTTTTGTCTTACATACACAAAATGAAAATGTTTTTCCTATTGTTTTTTAATAAACTTTGCTAATAGATAATATAATAATTTGTTATAGATGTAATATAATTGTTACATTTTAGAATATTTATTTGTGACAGTAATATTCAATAGTGTGAATTCAATTCTTACCTTTTCCCACTACCTCCAGTGATGTTCTATTGGGTAACAAATTTTGGTTAGTCAAACAAGTTGGTAAACTTGATGTTGAATTTTCTGATGGATTAAAAGCGGTATCTTTAGAATACCTGTAACTGTAAGAACATTACTATATTTGCTGAATAGTTTTACTTTTTTCCTAGAAATGCAGAGGAATTTTCCCCTTTAACTGTACCATTATCTTCTCCAAATTATCATGATACTCTTTGTCAGTGTCCCAGCCTACATGTTAGGAGAAGTGATAGGTAAAAGTAAAAAAGAAGTGTTCACTAAGAAATATCTTGTAATACTACCCAGGCAAGGTGGATTCTCACATTGCTGTCATCCTAAGAATTCTTATATTCTGGTCAAAGTATGAAATATCTTGGTTTCAAGTTTAAAAAAAATTGCTAAGTGCATTTATTCATCCCTTTGAATTATTTTCAAAGATGGTTACAACCTAAACTTTCAAAATTAATTTACAATCATACTGATTCACCTGCATCTTCCATCAATAATTTACCTGAATTTCTTTCATGGACACACACACAAACACACACACAAACACACACACACACACACACACACTCACACACACAGAGTCATATGCCTGACTCCACAAAACTTAGTTTAAAAAGTTCTAGTCTATTTCAGTTTGATAAGGAAGAACTTAATTAGAACAACAGAGATGGACCTAGAATAGTACAAATGTTGTTACTTAAAAATACATGAATGGACAGAAAGGTATTGTGCTTAGCAAAAAAAGCAAGCAAAAAAAAAAAAAAAACGGAAGGTTTCAACTAAAAGCAGAAACCAAAAAAATAAAAAGAACATATATAACAAAATAGAAACAGACTCACAGATACAGGAACAAATTAAGGGTTATCAGTGGGAAGAGGATTGGGGGAAGATAGAGAGGATAGGTTAAAGGGATTAGAGGTACAAACAACTAAGTGCAAAAGAAATAAGATACTAAGATATGATGTACAGCACAGGGAATATAGTCAGCATTTTATAAATATAAATGGAGTATAATCTATAAAAATAATGAATCTCTATGTTATGCACCTGTTACTATTATAATTCATCCATTATACTTCAATAAACAATATAAATTAAAAATACTGAGGTGCCCTGTGAGTTCCAAGGGCAACCTACTGTATGCCAGGCATTATGTGCAACTCCAAATCACTAGAAATAAAACACACAGCTTTTGTTATCAAAATATCTTACATCCTCTAAGATAAACATATATGATGAAAGATACAAAAAGGTTAATATGTCAGGTCCCGAGTTGTTGTAAAGGAAAGAGATGATCAACTTTGCTTGGATATTGAGAAGGGTGTGGATTAGAGAAAACTTCACAGTGAGGATTCCATAGGAGGTGAATTTTGAAAATAGAAAGGAGTTTAACAGGTAGACAAAGAAGGAAAAGCACTCTAAGCTGTAGAAACACTATGAACGAAAGTATGACTTGTAATGGCACATTTGAAAAACTCTAGACCTAGAGTGTGGTCCTCAATCATGGGAAGCCGTGTAAAATGAAACTGGGAAGATAGTCAAGGTCAAATCAATGAATTACCTGTATATGCAAATAAACTTAGATATTAATTCATAGGCAAGAGACTTTCAATACTTTGACTATACCAATAGTGAGAAATATATTTTGCATCACAATCACAATACATACATGTTCCCCCCCCCACAAATTTATAAAACCAAAAAGAAAGTTTCACAGAATAACTGTGTTTTCTTCTATTCTGTTCTATTCTATTCTATCCTATCATATTAGAAAATTGTTGGTCTCAATAATCTGAATTGATTTACATGAGTTGGTTTTGGCACAGAGATAAATTCAGTTCTGAATATATGGGTGGAAAATGTTTGTAGGATGTTAGGCTGGAGATACCCTTGAGGTGGTTGATTATATAAACCTAGAGTGTAAGATAAACTCACTGTATAGTGATAGTTGCATTTAATGCATGTACTTGACACAAATCATGTAGAGCGTAAAGTGAAGAAGATTGGTAAGGGAACTTAGGCAAGACTGACCCTATGGCATCAGAAGCAGAAGGAATGGGTGGGTATGATGGAGAAACCAAAAGGAGGAAATAAATCAAGAGGGAGTAAGATGATGGAAATAAGAAGAACAGTACCAGGAAGAAGAAAGACCTTATGAAAATCAAATATAGTAATTAACATAGTAACAAAAAAGCATGGCTGTTGGCATTGATAATGAGTAAGTAATTTATATCTTTAGCAGAAACTGCTCACTGGCTCTCAGTATCCACATTCTCCCCTTTCTATGGTAACAGAATCTGGGAACTTTAGCTGGGAAATGGATGCCTGAAATAAAGTCTATTTTCCCCCAAGAACTTTAGATATGAGGTGTAACAAAGTTCTGGCTAGCTTAAAACCAGTAGAAGTGTTATGCTTCTGAAGATATTTCTTAAGCCTCATCCTGTGTGAGTTCTTTTTCTTCTTATTCTTCATCCCTTCTTCTGTCCTGTTGTAAGGAACAACATTGCCACAACTTAGACCATGAGGTCAAGGCCAGTCAAGGCCTAGGTTGGCTACATTAACTTTTTATGTAAAAAATAAGCTCCTATCTTCTTTAAGCCATCACTATTTTTGGTTTTATGTCATCAGTATCTGACTCTAATTAAAACTACATGGAGACTCAGGTGAAGGTTCCGTGGAGATGGTAGTGGGAAAACCCAAACTGCAGTGAGTGGAGTGGGGAAGTTGTGAGAAGCTTTTGGCAGGAAAGCGGTCTCTGCAAGAGGTCCTTTGTCTCTTCACTTTAGCAAAAGTATATTGTAACTAACTTTTAAATCAGGCACCCCATGTGCTACTCAATCTCCAGCCAAAGCACACATTTCAACACACATATCTTTTGATCACAAGATATCTTATCTAACCTGTCTATTCCTTCCGTAGATCAAAGAAGTAAAAATGAAGAATAAGTAATTAACGAATGACCAGATCTCTTTCCTAGTTTTCCCTTCAGTGAACAAGCTGTGTGAACAAGGTAGCGTCTAAAGAAAGATCACAAGAAGTTAAGCCTGCCCACAGTGGAGGATGGTAACGACTTTGACCCTCTTTCTCAATGATTAACAGATCCCTTCTCTTTTCCCTTCAAAAACTTTTATGGCTAAACAGAATCACGGGAATTGATTTTGGGGGCATAGGAATCCATCTTTTCCACAGATTGTTGGCATTCTGATTAAAAACAAAATTTTCTTTCTACCAACAATTGCCTCTCAGGTATTGAATTTTGAGTGGTGAGCAGCTGGACCTGGGGTCAGTAAATAAAGTCTTATTAAATAGTATCAAAATCTTGTAGGCAAAGACATAAAATATATGTTATAGTAAAAAGTCACAAAAAGCTTATTTATTTTCTATGAAACTGCACATGACTTATTGCTATTCCTGTTTCAATATCAATGAGAGCCACGGTAGATAAAACAATGAGTTAATTATTTTTTAGAAAATATAATCCATTTCTATACATGCTTAGTGGACATTCTGCTTAAGGGGAATACTTATTTAAAAATAAAAAACAAAATTCTATGATTAGTTTACAAGGAAATGATCATTGATAGCATAAAGCCACTTACTATCCCATGAAGAAATGTGGTAAAGCAGTCAAAATACTTCCAGTTCCCATAATAATGCAACCAATTCCAATTAGCTTCGGTCTGTGTAATTTGGCTCCAAAGTAACTCACAAATACAATCACAAGCAAATTTCCTACAAAGAGAACAAAATTATTTTTATATGATTCACTATAGCAAACAGTAACTGAGTCCACATTTGTGTCCAACAGAATAGAAAGCCCAGAATGGATACAAATAAAGCATAAGACATAGTATGTGCATGCTAAATTGCTTTGGTCATGTCGGTCTGTGCGATCCTATGAACTATAGCCCTCCAGGCTCCTGTCTCAATGGGATTCTCCAGGCAAGAATATTGGAGTGGCTTGCCATGCCCTCCTCCAGGGATCAAACCTGCATTTCTTAGGTCTCCTACATTGCCAGGAGAATTCTTTACTACTTAGAACCATCTGGGAAGCCCATGAGATGTGCTCCAAGATCTGGTAATCTAATTAGGATAAAACTCACTTAGCTTAAGCCACTCACTATACAGTTGTATGGTATTATTAATAAATAGACTTGACTTTAGATAAGAGTGAAAGGACTTGAATTACTTGGTGATATCAATGAAGCAAAATTTTTGAGGAATTTGGAGTTGAGTCGGTTGTTTTGGAATGGAGGAAAAATGGACAAAATTACTTGAGGAAAAGTATTCACTTGTGCATTTTTCATTCACTTTTAGCATTCTTTAAATTCCTATTAAGTACCTTCCATGGTCCTAGAAGCCAGAAGTATAAGAAAAAAAATAAACACTGTATGGTATCTGGGTAGAGGAAAATGGGCAGAGGCGTTCAGCAACCAGTTCATAAAATAAGAGAAATAATTCAATTTCTCAGTAATTCAATTGCTCAATAATTACACAAAATCTCACTAGTATTGGAGAAATTCAAATTAAAATGAAGAAAACAAAACAATATACTCAATGTTCTTAAAAAAAATTTTAACCCCCAATTCTATATCCTGTTAAACAGTCTGCCCATTTTCCTTTTCCCCCACTTTTTAATGATTTGAAGGGACTCAAAATTTATGTCGGTTTTATAGATTACATATATTTTTTTACAAATATGCTCTTTTCCTTTGACCATGCCATTATCTATGTGGGAATCCCAGTTCCTCAACTAGGGATCGAACCCTCTGCTCATTTATCTCTTTTGTCAGCGATATGTATGTTCTTTTAGAGCAGATACCATACAGTGTTTATTCTTTTCTTATACCTCTGGCATCTAGGACCATGAAAGATACTTAATAGAAATATAAAGAAAGCTAAAATTGAAGGAAAAATGCATTGAGTAAATATCTTTCCTCAAGTACTTTTGTCCTACAGCTATTTCCTATAGCTGTAGGAAAAACAGCTAAAGAAGTCAACATTCACAGATAGCACATTGTGTCCTAAGAATGCATTTAAACAGCTTTGAAACTTCAGGGGCACGTGTGTGTGTGAACCTGGAAATGGCTCAGATGGTGAAGAATCTGCCTGCAATGCAGGACGCCTGGGTTTGATCCCTGGGTGCAAAAAACCCCCCTGGAGGAGGGAATGACTACCCACTCCAGTAATCTTGGAGAATTCCAGGGACAGAGGCACCTAGTGGGCTAGAGTCCATGGAGTCACAAACAGTCAGACACAACTGACTAACTCTTACTTTTCTCAAACAGTAGAACCTAACAAATATTGCTTCAGAACTGTTCCTCCCTTCTGAAATCATCAGAATCGTATTCCTCTCTCCAAATTTTTCTTGCACTAGTGCATCTTGAGAAAAGGAAGGTTAAAACCCTGCAAAATAGTAGTTCGCAGACAGTGAGCTTGCGTAAATCAGAGCTGCGTAACCTCTATACTTTTGACATTTTGGACTAGGTAATTCTTTGTTTTGGAGCTGTCTTGGGCATTGTGGGATATTTAGAGGCATTTCTGGCCTGCACCACTAGATGCCAGTACCATTCCCTATTCCTCAGTGATGACAACCAAAAATGTCTCCAGATACTGCCAAATTGCCACGGCAGGGGAGTGGGGATCCTTACCTCTGGTTCAGGATCAGTGGTGGAGAGCATATATGAACAGTTTTTACCTCTGCAATTCTGATTACTAAATAATCAAAATGCACATAAAACTTACCAATTTCAAAGCTTCCGTCAATTAAGCCAACAGTAGAAGATGATATGTCAAATCTCCTTTCTATTTGAGTGATGGAACTTTTCATAATGATTGCACCCAGTGACTTAGAAATAAAGCTGAGTGACAGGGCTGCCAAGAACATCTAATGAAAAGCAGGAAAGGGAAAAATGATTAATCATAAGATCACATAATGCTTATATATATACAGAATTAAAAAAGCTTCTCTTCTTTACCTAGTATTTTGTGTGTGTGCATGTGTGTGTTAAAAGCATACTCACTTTCTTCTATTTCAATTGGTACTTCTTAGTCCTTTTAACATTAACATCACTATATCCATAAAGGATCATTTTCTAACTTGATTACAGCATCAGATTATTAGAGTAGGACAAAGTTGAATTTTTCATTAAGTTAATGTCATTGGTTTCTCAGTTCAGTTCAGTCGCTCAGTCATGTCCGACTCTTTGTGACCCCATGAACCGCAGCACGCCAGGCTTCCCTGTCCATCTCCAACTGCCCGGGTCCACCCAAACCCACGTCCATTGTGTCGGTGATGCCATCCAACCATCTCATCCTTTGTCGTCCCCTTCTCCTCCTGCCCTCAGTCTTCCCCAATATCAGGCTCTTTTCCAATGAGCCAGCTCTCCGCATCAGGGGGCCAAAGTATTGGAGTTTCAGCTTCAACATCAGTCCTTCCAATGAACACCCAGGACTGATCTCCTTTAGGATGGACTGGTTTGATCACCTTGCAGTCCAAGGGACTCTCAAGAGTCTTCTCCAACACCACAGATCGAAAGCATCAATTCTTCGGCCCTCAGCTTTCTTTATAGTCCAACTCTCACATCCATACATGACTACTGGAAAAACCATAGCCTTGATTAGATGGAACTTTGTTGACAAAGTAATGTCTCTGCTTTTTAATTTGCTGTCTAGGCTGGTCATAACTTTCCTTCCAAGGAATAAACATCTTTTAATTTCATGGCTGCAATCACCAGCTGCAGTGGTTTTGGAGCCCAGAAAAATAAAGTCAGCCACTGTTTCCCCATCTATTTGCCATGAAGTGATGGGACCAGATGCCATGATCTTAGTTTTCTGAATGTTGAGTTTTAAGCCAACTTTTTCACTCTCCTCTTTCACTTTCATCAAGAGGCNATCACCTCCACTAGCTTTGTTCGTAGTGATGCTTCCTAAGGTCCACTTGACTTCACATTCCAGGATTCTGGCTCTAAGTGAGTGATCACATCACTGTGATTATCTGGGTCATGAAGATCTTTTTTGTATAGTTCTTCTGTGTATTCTTGCCACCTCTTCTTAATATCTTCTGTTTCTGTTAGGTCCATACCATTTCTGTCCTTTATTGAGCTCATCTTTGCATGAAATGTTCCTTTGGTATCTCTAATTTTCTTGAAGAGATCTCTAGTCTTTCTCATTCTATTATTTTCCTCTATTTCTTTGCATTGATCACTGAGGAAGGCTTTCTTATCTCTCCTTGCTATTTTTTGGAACTCTGCATTCAAATGGGAATATCTTTCCTTTTCTCCTTTGCTTTTCGCTTCTCTTTTCAAAGCTACAAAGAAGGAAATCCTATCACATGCTACAACATGGCTGAGCCTCAAAGACATGCTAATCGAAGTAAGCCAGTCACAAAAGAAGAAATAGTGTATGATTTCATTCAAGTATTTAAAGTATTTAAAGTCATTTTTTTTAAGTATTTAAAGTATTTAAAGTGTCAAGTATTTAAAGTAGCCAAAATCATAAAAGCAGAAAGTAAAAATATGGGTTCCCAAAACCGGGTGAAGACAACATAGAATATTAGGGGTTAGTAAGTATTTCAGTGTTGCAAGATTAGAAAGTCTAGAGATTTGTTGTAAACAACACGAATATACTTAATACCACTGAGCTGTACCTTTAAAAATTGGTTAAGACAATAAATTTAACATCATATGCTTTTAAAACTATAAAAAATGTATTTTCCCATTAAAAAAGTGTGTGTAGGCTTCTGCTGAGAGAAGTAACATGTCCTCCTGGATAAGCTCAAACTGTCATTGTGGCTGACGGATAGAGGCATGTTACTACATGGGTTCATTTTTTCCCCTGGAACTTCTTTTCACTTTTGTCATCCCCTGATATATGAAATTTTATACAGATGTACAACTTCCTGGTGAGCATTTCCTCCTGCATTCCTCTCCCCTACCCTTTACTAATTTTAAAGTTTTGTTCTTTTTATAAACATGTATATAACTACATATAAGTAAATCTTATAGATATGTATATATACATATACACGTGTGTGTGTGTGTGTGTATGTGTGTGTGTGTACAGCCATGGGTGAATTTTTTAATTTATTGAGTTTGTTGCCTCTTTTCAAGAGTGGTGAAGTAAATAAATTATCTGGTGATTCTTGCCTGCCTGCTTTCTTTTACATGTGGAAGCTCCCTTTCCTTGTCTTTGAAAATTTAGTCTTTGTGAAGCCTTTCTGGGATGGAGAGGCAGCAGGGTGACTCAGTGGTGAAGAATCAACCGGCAAATGCAGGAGACCCAGGTTTGATCCCTGGGTCAAAAAGATCTCCCAGAGAAAGAAATGGCAACCTGGTCCAGCACTGAATGGACAGAGAAGCGTGGCAGACTACAGTCCACAGGGTCACAAAAGAGTCAGACATGTTGTAGTGACTAAAACAAGTTAATGGTTAATCTGCATGTGGGCCCTTCACTACTCCATGCTGTCACCAGCCACTAGGGACACTGTTCTGCTCCATATGCCCAGGCCGCCACCCACACTCACTTCTTCTGCCCAGGGTAGACGCCTCTGCAGTTTGCTGCTTGGACTAAGTTGGGGTGGGAGGGTAATTTGACAATCAGGTGAAATGTTAAACAAGGAAAGAGGCATTTTTTTCTCTGACAGTGAGTGGAACACACTATACAGATGCCTGCTGCTTGTCTCTGGGACCTGTCTTGATCCCATGATCACTGGCTTTTGCCTTTGAAGCATCCCTGGAGTCATGTCCATGTTTTTCCAGCTTTCTTTTCCTGCACTTGTATTAGACTGTGATTTCTTTCTTTAGCCTAATTCTTTTTCCTTCTTAGTTTTTTGAAAACTGTTTCTGATTTACAGAATGTATTTTTTCTTGTTTTCTAGCACATCCACAAGTTGCTTTTAATATCTTTTACATTTTTATTAAAACTGGTGGGGGGAGGACATGGCTTCAGCCTTATTATTCGCAGTGTGCTATATTGAACTGGAAATCAAGTTCTACCCTCTCTTCTCTAATAAATAGAAAAAGATATTATGAGGCTTTTAATTAAACTCAGATGCCTGACACATTATGAGTATATACTCCAAAAATGGTTTTTGGTTGTTGAATAAATTGTTGCTCCCTGGTTATAAATATGGTATAGAGTTTACATGGAGTGAAACCACTCATTTTTTAGATTTTTAGCTTTTAGATGGACATAATTACAATAAAATAGTTATGAAGACTAACTAAAATAATATACATAAAATTTTTGGCATGTAATAAGCATTGATAAATGTCTGATTTTATTATCACTGTGAGCTATCATCACTCAGCTTTTGGCTGTAAATTCATTCAGTTAAAAATAGAACTCTGATCATTTAGCCAAACACATGTTTTGTCAGGCACTATTTGAGCTGCTGCAGAATCAGTAATGAGCACACTGACAAAATGATTTATTGATTATTAAAGAAATACTGAGGCAAATTTTTATCTAAGTCCTGATCATCAAAGCTCTAATTGGTACAATCAAAGAGGAGGGGCTTTCAGAAAGTAACAGGACTTTATCTCATTAAAGCAGATACAAGCGTGACCAGAAGTAAAGCTTGTCTTATGCAAGAGCAGCTTTCTAAAAGTTCTGAAAAAGGTTTTGCAATGTCCATATTTTCAGTCTTAAAAAGAAGATTAACTCAAAACAAAAGAGAGATTCAATAAAATCAAAATTTGTAAATTGGTTTTACAAAGAAGAAAAGAGTAACAGATGCAAACACAAGGGCTACAATAGGATTCTTCATAAACTAGGATTTTAGAAGGATATGGAATGAGTTACTGTAGATAGATTTATAAATGTGCTTTCTTTTATTCCAACTATAACCTGAGCTGTGAGCATTTTAGCCATGTTCCTAATGTGGAGCTGAAATTCAGAGAAAGAATGGTATGGTGATTTTCTTAGAACATAATAGGTAATAAAAAACCAATTTCTTCAATGAAAAATATTAAAAGACTGATGCCATGAGGATATAGAATTCAAGATTGAGAGATTTCAGAACAGAGATACAAATATTCCCAATTGTCAAAAGCATTTTAAAATATCACAGACAGAAAGACACAACGAACCCTGAGATAAAAGGTAAAGTTGGTATTTACCTGCAATAGTGGCAGGTCAGTCCTTTGTTTATTATGGCAAGAGCTCTAGAATTAAGGTCAGAAGGCAGTTCCAAGTTTCCACATTGCCATGTGTACAGCCATAATCAACAACATAAACTCATTTGAACCTTAATTCACTTACTCAGCAAATACTAGTTGAGCAACTACAGTATGACAATTATCTCCACTAAGCCTTGGAGTTGGAAAAAGACACAGCGTAAGAAGGGAAGTAAAAACAATTAAGACATAATAAATGCCCCCAAAGAATGAATGTCTTCCAGGTCCAATGAACAAATAATGCCAGTATAATAATGTAATGAGTACTGTAGTTGTACACATTTATAAATCAAGAGTATGCAGGGCAGTGGTTAATTCTATCTGCAAAGGTCAAAGTTCCTATAGATGTGGTAACATTTGGACGAAGTCTTTAGGGAATAAAAGAAGCTTAGAAACCAAACAAGAAATAAACATTTTAAAGAAAATAGGAAACTCACAGAAAGCTCAGAGTAGTGGAAGAACACAGATCATTTGCAAAACAAAAAGAATATCTGTGGGCGAAACATAAGGATAGAAATATGCCAACTGCGGCGAGATCAATCGGCATTTTAAAATGTGACCTAAGGAAATTAAATTTTAGAGGGCTAATTCTGTAGTCATGAGGAAGATGAATTTATGGCAAAGACATTAGTTAGGAAGCTGATTTCGGAAAGAAAGATGAGCAGAGATGGGAAGAGGGGAACAGAAGGTTACAGACATGCTTGGGAGA